CAACGTGGGCTGTATCCTCCTCCTCCCTCGAGTGGTGGCGTAACCAGAGGTGAAGTCCTCCGCCCTCTGGGTCGGCTGCGGTGGCAGGGGGGCATCCATGATGGCCGCCGCGGAGGAGTAGAGCCCAGGCATGTGGTCCAGTGGGAAGCGGTCCGGCTCCGGGTTCGACACCACCTCGTCCAGCGTGAGGAGGGAGCCGACCTCCGAAACCTCTCCGTCCTCACAGTCACCCCACTCCGCGGGCACGGGTGGAAGGTTGAACGGGGCCCAGTCAGTCTCAGACTCCTCGTCCTGAGAGGAGTCCGGACGGGGCGCTGCAGCGGCGAGGTACGCACGCCTGCGTTCGCTCTCCTCCCTGGGGAGAGCGAGACACGAGGTGCAGGTGGCGCTCAACGCCGCCTGGCCCGGGCCCAGGCACATGAAGCAGCTGGAGTGCTGGTCCGTGCGCTGGAGCCTGACTCGACACGTCAACGACGTCCGACGCCGGAGGGCGAAGGGGAACTCGGACGAGCATCAGAAGACATCTTTCTCTGGAATGAAGTAAGTACTGGTAGATCTCCATCGGCGCCAGAGAGAAAGAGGGGGTGCGGCCTTGTGCAGGGGCCTTTATAGAGGAGGGTGGCTGGTGATTGGAGCAAATGATTTTGATCTCTCTGGCGTGTGACCTGGGGGTCACGAGTGATATCCCACTAGCGAAGTCCTAAGGGACGTAGCACCATGACGTAGAATTAGGTAATATATAATATATGGTGTATATATTATATATATATGCTGTATTATGTTATATATTATGCTGTATGTTATGTTGTATTATACAGTGCCTTGCGGAAGTATTCGGCCCCCTTGAACCTTTCAACATTTCGCCACATTTCAGGCTTCAAACATAAAGATATAAAATTTAAATTTTTTGTCATGAATCAACAACAAGTGGGACACAATCGTGAAGTGGAACGAAATTTATTGGATAATTTAAACTTTAAAAAAAAATAAAAAACTGAAAAGTGGGGCGTGCAATATTATTCGGCCCCTTTACTTTCAGTGCAGCAAACTCACTCCAGAAGTTCAGTGAGGATCTTTGAATGATCCAATGTTGTCCTAAATGACTGATGATGATAAATAGAATGCACCTGTGTGTAATCAAGTCTCCGTATAAATGCACCTGCTCTTTGATAGTCTCAGGGTTCTGTTTAAAGCGCAGAGAGAACCATGAAGACAAAGGAACACACCAGGCAGGTCCGAGATACTGTTGTGGAGAAGTTTAAAGCCGGATTTGGATACAAAACGATTTCCCAAGCATCTCAAGGAGAACTGTGCAAGCAATTATATTGAAATGGAAGGAGTATCAGACCACTGCAAATCTACCAAGACCCGGCCGTCCCTCCAAACTTTCATCTCAAACAAGGAGAAGACTGATCAGAGATGCAGCCAAGAGGCCCATGATCACTCTGGATGAACTGCAGATAACTACAGCTGAGGTGGGAGAGTCTGTCCATAGGACAACAATCAGTCGTGCACTGCACAAATCTGGCCTTTATGGAAGAGTGGCCATTTCTCAAAGATATCCAATAAAAGTCTCTTAAAGTTTGCCACAAGCCACCTGGGAGACACACCAAACATGTGGAAGAAGGTGCTCTGGTCAGATGAAACCAAAATCAAACTTTTTGGCCACAATGCAAAACGATATGTTTGGCGTAAAAGCAACACAGCTCATCACCCTGAACACACCATCCCCACCTCAGCTGTAGTTATCTGCAGTTCATCCAGAGTGATCATGGGCCTCTTGACTGCATCTCTGATCAGTCTTCTCCTTGTTTGAGATGAAAGTTTGGCGGGACGGCCGGGTCTTGGTAGATTTGCAGTGGTCTGATACTCCTTCCATTTCAATATAATTGCTTGCACAGTGCTCCTTGAGATGTTTAAAGCTTGGGAAATCTTTTTGTATCCAAATCTGGCTTTAAACTTCTCCACAACAGTATCTCGGACCTGCCTGGTGTGTTGCTTTGTCTTCATGGTTCTCTCTGCGCTTTAAACAGAACCCTGAGACTATCAAAGAGCAGGTGCATTTATACGGAGACTTGTTTACACACAGGTGCATTCTATTTATCATCATCAGTCATTTAGGACAACATTGGATCATTCAAAGATCCTCACTGAACTTCTGGAGTGAGTTTGCTGCACTGAAAGTAAAGGGGCCGAATAATATTGCACGCCCCACTTTTCAGTTTTTTATTTGTTAAAAAAGTTTAAATTATCCAACAAATTTCATTCCACTTCACGATTGTGTCCCACTTGTTGTTGATTCATGACAAAAAATTAAAATTTTATATCTTTATGTTTGAAGCCTGAAATGTGGCGAAATGTTGAAAGGTTCAAGGGGGCCGAATACTTTCGCAAGGCACTGTATATGATATATATGGTATGTATGGTATATATGATGTATATGATATATAATATATAATTAGGTTTGCTTGGATCGGTTTGCACACCTGGTGTGCAATCCATGAATCTCTTTATTCAAGGCTAGGTTTAAAACAGTCCTCTTTAGTTTAGCATATGGCTAGGAAGGTAAGACTCGGGGAAGGCTAAACTCCTCAGAGTGTCAGTCAAGCTGCATAGGGAGTCAGTTTGCTGGGAGAAGTATGGTAACTTGAGCACTATCCTCTCCTCCTTCCTACTTTATCTACTTTATCTTTTAGGATTCTGAATGTAGTTTGTTCATTGCTATTCACCCGTTGTCCCATTGTCTGTTTCATGGTACGATGACGGGATCTCTGAGCCTGGCCTCCTCCATCTACACCTGCGGACTGCCCCGCCCGACCTGCCTGGGAGTGCTTCAGTCCTGCACCGGACCTGTCCACGTTCAGCTGCCACTGGTCCACGTCCTGTAGCTAGCTTAGGTCCTAGATCATTAGCCTGTCCGTCCGGAGGAGCGGATCCCTTTCTCATATGGGTCTCCCTCCCTGTGGGTTTCCCTAGTTCTCCCCAAGGTTTCTCACTTTTTCCCACTTGGTTTTTTAAGAGTTTTTCCTTGTCGATGCAGGAGGGTCTTGTTGGACAGTTAGTGTCCAACAGAAAGGATTGGTGATGATCAGGACACTTTAGCATTCTACAACATGTATGGACATTTTCTTCTGTGGGTGCTTTATATTCTTCATGTGTTTTAACTGTTGATTCTCTGACCTGTGTTGGTGATTTCAATGGTTTTGTTAAGTCCTCTGAGATGACTTCTGTTGTGACCTAGGGCTATACAAGAATAAATTGTATTGTATTGTATTGTATTGTATTCAAACAAGACAGGAACAGTGCAAAACAAACGACTGCACAGTTTATAAGTTATATATATGTTAGATAGTCCACAGTCTCCTGTATATCAGGCTCTGAGCCCAAACTGCTTTTCCTTTGAAGCTTGAAGCTCTCTGCTCCATAGTGCGCGAGTATAAACTAGGCTTTAACTCATTGAATGCCAGCCTATTTCAGAACAGGTACTCCCACAGTGCCAGCCATTTCTGATGATTTTTACTGATTTTTCAAGACCCACAGAATATTGTGTACTATGACTATCTGAAATCCGACACCAGATTCTAAAAGAATGGACTGTCTACTTTCCTCAGCAAAAAGAATTTTGTTTATAGCTTTTTTCGTTCCCCTGTAATCCTCCGTCGAGTAGAGGGAAGTTTTACTGAAATCACCAGAAATCACCAGAAAGTTGAGAAAAAAGAGGCACAACATGTGCACCTACATGTTTTCAAACCATTCAGAGAGCAATGCTGCCACCTGCTGGCTCGATAAAATATGGTCTCAAGTCATCCCCATACATATTAGATACAATAGACATCTGGGAATTTGCTTTGACGTATTTGTGCGTCAATGGGACACAATGAGTACATGAGAGCTGAGGCCTATCCATGTAAATGTGCCATCTTGTAGTACATTGGTTGATAAGGGACAAAAAGGATGCTACTTTTTATAGGTGCTACTGATATTGTTGCTTCCACCGTGCCCTCACAAGTTTGAAGAAGGGATCATGGAGGACAACGGTTATGTAAAAGAACAACCCGAACAACAATCTTTTAGAAAAATATTTATGCAAAAGTCTAGAAACTGACGTCATAACAGCCAACTGTCAACATCGCAAACCACACGCACCGAAAGGCAGCGTTAGATTACTTACTTACTTAAAACAACAGGAGGCACATTTTTTAGTTTGTACACAACAGACGCACACATGAACAATACATAACTTTCTTCACGCGCACAGTTATGAGAACAAGGCAGAATCTGCTACAAAGGTCTCAGGATGTTCTGACCCGCTCCGAGCATTAGTCCAACCGATAGTCATGCATATTTTTGTCTGTTTTAGTGACAACAACAACAAAAACAGCAACAATAACTCCTGATCTCAATTTCCGCTAGCTCATTGAAGCTGATTATTCCTGCTCGCCCTGGCTTCTATTGAGTACATTGAAAAGTACTCTTGCTCAGTCACCATTTTGGGCTTGAAAATCCATGGTTTTGCACTCTCTGTGATCCTGGTGTTTATATTATTTTGTGTGTGAAAGTTTGACACAGCAGTATGTTTGACACAATTTTATCAAAATGGGGGAAACTTTAATTGTATTGCATATAGATCTGGCTTTTCACAAATCTACTTTTTGAAGGGCACATTTTAAGCCTTTGAAATATTTTTCTAATTACACTGCTTTTGCAAATCAGCACTTCAATTTGACAAGGATTGACCAATCAGACGCTTTCATCCCCAGAGGGAAACTCCAGCTTTCCTTAGAAACCATGTTAGCAAGACTTCTGCCCCTGTTTCAGCACAAAGCGAACGTTGTAGAAATGGCTCCAGCTAGCTTATGTTAAATTAGCCAACACTATGGTGATGTCACTCTCAGTCAGTCCACTTCTAATATACAGTTTGTGTGTGCATGAAAACATCACCTATTTTACTTCTTAGATGTCAAACCGTTCCACACTAACAGAATGTTTTGCTCGCGCAGAGTCGGTGGCATCTCTGGCGGCGGCTTTGACATGTGTCCTGGTCCTCGCTGTCCTCATGGCTGTGATGGTCAAGTGCTTTATGGTGGACTTGGTTCTTCTGTCCCGCAGACTGTTCCCGTTCAGGCTTGGAGACACCGGTGAGGAGGACATACCTGTACCACACATTTTACTCCAACCACTGACCAAATGACCGCCAAGCTTTGTGAACCAGACTCCCTCTACTCCAATTTCATTAGATTGAACCGTTTCTGCCACATATTTGCTAAGATGCAATCACTTTAACTGGCGACTACTGAGAAAAGGCCTGCAGATGTGTTTAACAGCACAGGTAAAGGGCCATGCTTTATTTTTTTTTATATGTATGTAGGGTAATAATATAATGTAAGAGATGAATAGTGTAGTAAGATGTAGTGTAGTGCGGCTAGTCTCCAAATCAGAGTCTGGCCGTCCTACACGAGTGGGGGATCTGCTTTTATTTTTAGGGCACCAGCAGAGTTACTTCTGCACAGATCCAACCAACTTTGCCTCGAGTCAGTCTTATAATCTAATAGGTAGTGAATGCGTAAATCGGCCAGTGATATCCGAGATTTAAAACACGACGCTTAAATGATTGAGTTAAAGTTAACGTGAATTTATTGACTACAAAAATTGAAGATAGAAAATATAACGAAGGGGATTTCTGGTCACATTAAACAGAAGTTGTATACATCTCATTTGAAACACACATCCAACAAAGGAACAGTCTTACTTTGAGCCGTTCAAGGGAGATGTTGATGAAAAGAGGAGGATGGAGAATGGAGATGGAAGGATGAGGATGAAGAATAGGATGGAGGCGATGTTCTCGTCCACGTGGTCTTTGTTCGAACAGGGAGCAGGAGGAAGCCAGCAGATCGGATCCAGGCGTGGGTTCCACACACAACACGGTCTAGAATAGCGTTGCGGTGGGGTGTTCCAGGGAGCCCGAAAGTGGCTGGCGATGGAAGGTCCTCGTCTCCGACAGCGAGAGTGGCTGCTGTCCCCGTGGATGTACAGGCCCGAGATGGTGGCGGGCGTAGGTCGTGTAGGAGACACGTACACAAAGGAATAGTTGACAGAGTGATTTCGGGAAAACCAAGAGGAAGTTCTGTTGCATTGTGCTTGTTTATATTGACTTCAAAAAGGGGGCGCGTCCTTGACGTCATCCATGTGCGTCTTCTCAGGACAACCCTCTCACAACAGACAGTTTACAAGAGAACCACGCAGGATTAATACAGACGATCACAACCATGTACAAACACACACCGCATTTCATTACTCGACAATGATACACACATGTAGGGCACGGTACAGACTTATTGGGGTAACCTGAGTCCGGAGCTGGTCTACACAGTGTCCGTGCCGGGTGTGATAATGTTCAGTGTCCACTGGGGGGCGCCAGAACGCCGTGGGTGAGTCTCGGGCTGTGGAATGCCCCATGAGCGATAGTGGGTGAATGATACCTGATCTCTGTCAGGCAGAAGGGCACACAGATGTTTGTTCTGCTGTTTTTATTGCCCTTTTGGGTCTTCTTGCAGTGTCCTGGCACATGTTAGCCTTCCATTGAACTCGTAGTTTCTTTTGAAGTCTCAGGAGCTCGGGAGGGGCATGTTTACGAAAAGGGGCTGCTATTCATGCCTGACTGGTTGCCCTTTTTCTCACCTTACATGTATGCATTTGGACGTAACCCTGGAGATAAATGAGAGAACCTGTAGGGGCCACTCCCTAATTTTGATTCTTGTGATGAAGCACACACTCTGTCTGCACATGTTTCATTGTTGTGGCTATGTTGTGGCTTTGTGTTTAAGTCTGTCAATCATTATTTGTGGAGGATTTCCTTGCCAAAGTGTAAGTATTACAACTAACTGGTGTTTGTGTTCGGCTGCAGGGGTGAAGGCGTTTGATGCTTATGTGGTGTACCAGCTGCACTCCCAGGACAAAGACACAGAGGAGGCTGTAGGCTGCTTTGTGTCTCAGGAGCTGCCTCGTGTCCTGGAGCACAAGTATGGCTACAAGCTCTTCATCCACGGACGGGACGACCTCCCAGGGGAAGGTCAGTCCTCCATGTGCTCACACCCCAGGACAGTTGTTTGTCAATATTTCACGCAAAACATATATTTGGGAAATAAGCCATTTTTTGTCAAAGAAAATGTTCTTTTTCTGTCTGGAAAAAGTTTCAAATCTTATTTTGATTAGATTCACAAACTCTATTATTCTGATGTCTGAAAGTCCTTTCTTCTGGCCAATCTCTTGCATAGATTATGGAATATTGTCATCCCTAGACACTATTTAGTTTTTGTTAAAGATTAAGAGATCCTTTATTCATCCCACAGTGGGGAAATTTCAGTGTTGCATCACAAGTTATAGAACAGCACGAATGAGGAGCACACAGCAGATAAGTGAACAATAGCTATATAAAATAAAACAAAATATTTAACTCTGGCATCAATAACAAGTATAAAATCTCTATCTTGATAATAATAATAATTAAAAAGAAGTTTCACGTGAAACAAACTTACATAGAAATTAGCTAAAGCCTTTTGACAGTTACCATAGTTACCAGCTGTCCCCCACCTCAAAAAACAATGAATGTTGTCTTGTCACATGAGCACACCCAGAATTTGAATAAGTCTTTACTGATTATGAGGTTCTGGACAGACCTAAAAAATACAACTGTTTTGTGTGCGTGTGCGTGTGCGTGTGCGTGTGCGTGTGCGTGTGCGTGTGCGTGTGTGTGTGTGTGTGTGTGTGTGTGTGTGTGTGTGTGTGTGCGTATAGATCACGTGGAGCTGGTGGAGATGCGCATAAAGAAGAGCAGGAGACTCATCGTGGTCCTCTCTCCAGTCTCAGGGTGCCAGGTTGCTGAGACGTGCGAGGCCCCAGGGGGATATGACTGGCAGGTAAGAAGCTCCATGAGCACATATGATAACAATACATTGGCCGGAACCAATGTATTGTTATTCAAAGTCCTCCAGTTGTATTCAAAGCTAAACAAAACAGTTTTTGACCTAGATTTGAAAATTGTCAGGGAAGAAGCCTGTCTCACGTTTTCAGGAGGACTGTTCCAGACCCCCGCAGGAGGCCAGTCCCTGTGCTCCTCAGAGTCAGAGTTGGTTCATGTGTAACAAACAGGTCACATATGGCCACTCCCTCAGTTTGATCATTGTGATGATGAAGCACACAGTCCTTCTGCACATGTTTCTCTGTTTTTTTGTGTGGCAAAAACAGGAAACATGCTTCATTGTGCTGCGGAAATGACAAGGCCGCTGCAGTTGAGCCTGTGTGAAAATGTGATTACATTTGCCAAAAATGTACTTATATGAGATATAATAGAGCCATTGTATTTACATTTATTGTTCTAAAGCTCTATGGTGGCACCCTTGACCTTCTGAGCTCCTCTTCTTTCAGAACAAAACAAACCTGTCTTATGTCTGATTCCCAGGTGGGTCTTCATGAGGCCCTGGTCCAGCGAGATCTTAATGTGATCCTGGTTCAGCTGGGGGACACTGGCCCTGGAGGATACTCCCGCCTGCCCCCCGGCCTGCAGCACCTGACCCAGAGCTGTCGCCCCCTCCGCTGGAGCCCAAATGCTCGCAGTCGGGCCAACGCCCGCTTCTGGAAGAGAGTACGCTATCTGATGCCCGCCTCCCCGCTCCCACACGATACACGGACCACTCCTGTGTGATGCTGACCAAAAATACATGCATGTGAAAACAGTGAAAAACCAGTGTTTTGAGGGCTGTGTTGAGGAAATCGTGATTATATTACACAGTTATATTGTTTTTGTGGTTTGGCAGTTAGGGACCAACTGGATACTTTGTGTACTCAGTTTTAAAGGACACATGTGTAGGAGAAATAAAATGACCTCTCTGTATGCGGCCCTTGAGGGAGGCGGCCCGAGAAGTGACAAAACTCTCACAGCTCCATTTTGACTCTCTCTTACAAAGAAGACTGAGTGGTGAGAACATCACCTCTATGCTCTATGCTCGAGAGGCCTGGTAGGCTGTATTCAACTGCAAGATCCAGTCATGAACAAGGACTGTTCTCCATCCATTGCCATCACGACCCAAGGACTGCCATTGATCAACGTCACATTCTGGTTGATTCTGGCTCCATACAGTTGTTGGCTTTCTAAAACCTACACTTTAAACTGAGAACACCTAGTTCCTCACAAAGGCTGCAAACACACGCTGCAAGGCCGAAATGTCCATTCATGGACAGAGGCCTTGCTTTAGCCTTGTCTCACCTTAGCCATAGCATTTTAACCATGTATCTTGCAATCAACGTTTCCTTCATGTTATTCTTGACAATTTGCATATTTCAAATCTACTCTGTATTGTATATACTGCATTAAATCTATAAAACCATCTTTGTCTAAAAGTTATATTTGAACTGATTTAACTCCAGAAATTGGGTCACTGATTTGTAAAAGAATTCATTACCTTCAGATTCTATTGAAGAGAATTGGACTAACTAGCTAATTAACTAATGAATTACTGAATCAATAAATGAGCCACTTAATAGATAATGTGACGTCGCACGGCACGTTGTTAGTTGTGATTTATCACAGGTGCCCCTAAATAAAGCTATTATCAATTATTGTACATGATTGTTTTTCATTCAATTCTCCGATATCAAATACATAACTCAAGTTATGTGTGATATCGACTTCAATAACCCCTACACATGGCATGCCCTTTGGAGATGTTCATTAATTCTTTCTTCAAAATAAAGCAATCTGTTTTCTGGGCCATTACTCACATGTGGCTTAAATGAAGAGGGTTATAGTACTCTGCATAAACACAGTGTAACGAGCCATGGAGCCTTGTTTGGGTGAGTGAAGTCAGAGTTTGGAATGTTCGCCCCCTTCGCTGCTCTTTGAGAAGTTGTCCTTGAAATTTTTTGTATTGCTCCACGTGGATGAAAATGTGGTTCACTCTGTTCTCGAGACTCGGGCTGTGACTTTAGAAGACTTAATTGAATGTTGGAAGTTTGTTTTCACTTGATCCTGTCTTCCCATGAAGTGAAAAGTCGACAGAGGTCTAAAAAACTCGCCAACTTTCCCTACATTTTTAGCATTGTTCAACAATACAAAAGAGCATAATTTAGTCATTGTTTTTCATTATAACTGTTGCTTTGTAAGAATGTATGTATCTGTTGAGATTATTCATTTGTATTTGTATTTTTTTGTGTTGCAAAATGATTTTGTCATTGTAAATATAAAATACTATCTAAAGCCTAACTTGATCTTTTTTATAGAACCCAAACCTGTCTCCCTTGTGAGATTTACAGTTAAACATTTGCAAACCATTCACAGAAAACAATGGCTCACCCGCTAGCTCAATAAAGCCCAATGGGAAGTGCTCATGGCTCAACTCGCTCTGGTTCCTATTGAGCTACATTGAAAAGTAAACTTCATCACCACTGTCCTTAGACCCACCTATACAGCAGCAAAGAACTGCCGGTGGAAAGCTCCCAATAGGGGGTGAAGCAGAGCCGTGTAGAGTAGATTAGGGCCAAGCAAGGCTGGTGAAAATGGGGATGTTGGCTGCTCTCTAGGCCTTTTCCTGCTTAGCTGCTGGGGTCTGGCCTGAGTCCGGCTGGATCAAGTTTTACATCCATGGTTTTACCCCTTGATAAACCTTACGCAGCGTACACATGATCCTGCAGAGGGCAGCTATCTCGTCTACTAATGACAGTTACCAGAATTCATCAGCAAGGGAGTAATGTGCAGTTCCTATGGGTGCCTGTGCACTGTGGGATCCCTGGAAATGAGCAGGCAGACTGAATGGCTAAGGGAGCGCTGAGAAAGCAGTGTTGAGCTGTGACAGTGAGAAGCAGCAAATCTGAAGTGAAGAGTGTGGTGTGGAGGCATGGGTGGCTCTGGAGTGGCAGAAACGCTGCGATACAGGGGTCACTGGGAGACATTTGTACTAGATAAAGAAAGAGGTGAGAGGTGGCGGGTTTCATAGGGGTCTTAGAAGGGATGAAGTTGTGGTCACGAGATTAAGAATTGGTCACAGTGCACTTAATAAGACTTTGTGTCTGATAGGTAAACATGGGACAGGGCTGTGTGAGGTGTGTCAGGAGGAAGAAGAATCTGTGGAGCATGTGGTTCTGAGGTGTAGGGGTTACATCATCTGTAGGGAAGTCATGAAGGAGAGGTTAAAGGAGCTGTGAATGAGACAACTTAATCTTAAGAGCGTTCTACAGAAAGACAGTAGAGCACAAGTAGGGCCGTTGTTAGCTTTTTTTTTTAAAGGAACCTATCATTCAACTATTTTTTCTTTTAAATTTAATATCCCCCTTCCCTTGTTGGGACCATAGACTGTAAGACTGTTAGTCTATGGTTTGGGTTTTAGACTGTGAGCCTATCGTCTGACCCACTCCGCAACAGAAGGTGGCGGTAATGCTCCACTAGTTGGCTGCCAACCGCCGTAAAACTCAAAAGAAGAAGAAGATGAAGCGCTCGTCTCCGGAGGAAGTTATTTGAAACCCGGAAGTGAAAACTCTGAGAAGGAAGCGCCACAAGAGCGTCGAGATTTAAGGCTGAGAGTGCTGGAAACAAGGTTAGACCGGCCTCAAACTCATCCACAAACTGTCCCCGGGCCTCTGCAGGCTCTGCGGACAGGGACTACACGCACACTGCCTGTCCAGCTAGACGTGCGACCCAGAAATGATCTGTTTACGGGGCAACTAGCACGGATTAGCATCGAAGCTAACGTTTGCGAACACGGCACACATGGCCCTGATAGGTTCTGCAGGTCCACACATCCACACACCTCCTTCACCTGTTGCTTTTTTGTCTACGCCATCATTGAGACTGTGATCGTTGTTTAATATGTTTAATATGTTTGATTCAAACCGGCTCCTCCTCTCAGCTGCTCGGGCTTTTGTTTTGGTCTTGGAAAAGGGTGTCGTGCTTTCAAAACTATCGAAGAGCAGCAGTGGGACGTTTGAAACCAAGTTTAATTGTTTACTTGTTCATAACTTGTACAAAGTTGTCCCAAATGAAAGTCTTGTAATAGGAACATTTGCCTGTCTCTAGCTCCCAGAGCAGTCCATTTGATGGCTTTTAGTTTGATTTTCGATCTTCCTAACCTTGACTTTCTCTGTATCTGTTTTTCTATGTAATTATTTTCATGACATTATCTTTTAGTTATAAATGTGGGGAGTTCTAAATTCTACTTGGTTTATATATATATATATATATATATATATATATATATATATATATATATATATTATATATAGCTTGTTACCAAATTAATACACAATTTACTTGCAGCAATTACTATTTGGTAGCCTCTTAACGTTGAGAGGCTGAACACATAGTGAAAGTAAATCACAAATTAAACAACTGACTTCTATTAAATGTGTTGGAAAAGTGTGTGCTTGATTAGTTACTTCTTGTGGTAATTTAGGTACCCCAGCTTTAAAATAGCTAATTTGGCTGCTCCCCGCCCATAACGTCACTGTCAAGAGAGTGCTGTGTTCCCAGATTCAAAACTACATTTGATCTACAAACTTTCTCATATTAATCAATTAGCCCATGGAAAATTCTCCTAATGACAGTGTACAAACTTGACAGTTTTCAGCCTAATTCACAAACACACACACCTGTCCAGGGACTACCGGTGGAAACTAGCCTTTTTGCTAAAAAACCTAGCTTTTTATGAGACAACTGTTTATTGCTTGTCGTGCCGGATCAAGTAAATAAATACTATGAAATCCCCATGATCGTATGAGTTGTCCAAGTGTACTGGGCTGTTGTCTTATGTGTTTGTGTTTGCAGATATGGAGTCACCAGAGGGCAGTCCCAGTCCTACTCAAAGGGACCAGAGAGGTGAGCATCACTCAGGTTTTCCACATGCTGGTCAAAATTTGAGGAAGCATGAAACTATATTTTAGCAAACTGCAGACGTAATTCTAAATCATTATCCTTTACAATGTTCTTTCTCACGTCTTCTCTCATGTCCTCTCTCATGTCCTCTCTCATGTCCTCTCTCTCTCGTCCTCTCTCTCTCGTCCTCTCTCACGTCCTCTCTCACGTCCTCTCTCACGTCCTCTCTCACGTCCTCTCTCACGTCCTCTCTCTCGTCCTCTCTCACGTCCTCTCTCACGTCCTCTCTCTCGTCCTCTCTCACGTCCTCACTCACGTCCTCTCTCTCGTCCTCTCTCACGTCCTCTCTCACGTCCTCTCTCACGTCCTCTCTCACGTCCTCTCTCACGTCCTCTCTCTCGTCCTCTCTCACGTCCTCTCTCTCGTCCTCTCTCACGTCCTCTCTCTCGTCCTTTCTCTCTCGTCCTCTCTCTCTCGTCCTCTCTCACGTCCTCTCTCACGTCCTCTCTCACGTCCTCTCTCACGTCCTCTCTCACGTCCTCTCTCACGTCCTCTCTCAGGTGCTTTCTCACGTCTTCTTGTGTGTTGTTCCAGATGTGGAGACAGTACCTGACGAGAGAGCCCTGTCTGGCCCTGGCCTCGACCCCTCGCCCTCCAGTTCATCCTCTGGGGCCGAGGAGGTGGAACGACAGCAGCAGCAGGAGGACAGCAGCAGCAGCAGCGACGAGGAGGACGAGCACCAGGGGGCCATGAGGAGGCTTCGCAGCAGTGTGGCCCATATCATGGTCAGTGCAACATTTCACACACACACATAACACGTTTGTGTTTAATTAAAAATGTCACTTAATGTCAGCTTTATTTGTATACAACACTGATCAGCAGCAGACTGACAGTTCCTTTTTTCAACAAGCTTTATCAAATATGTAGGACAGCCATTTCCAAAGTCAGTAACACCGCGGCCCCCGAAAGAATAACCAAGAAGACAACGTTGAAAATAGGCTCTTCTCGTTATTTTATTTGGGGGAAATAGCCTCTGCTACAAACATGTAAAGGACGCACCCCATTTTGTAATACAAAAATGATTACAATTTGATAATTCAAGTCAAATATTGAACACAAATATTTTAATATTGCACACAAAAATTTTAATATTGCACACAAAAAAATATTAATTTAACATACAATAATTATTAAAACAGTAGCTAAGAGTAGTAGTAGGGCGACAGTAGCTCAGTTGGTAGAGCATTGGCCTTAAGGCCAGAAGGTCGTGGGTTCAATTCCCACCTCTACACCTTCTCCATCGACTCCCACTGATGACTGCTGTCGTTGTGTCCTTGGGCAAGACACTTAACCCCACTTTGCCCAAAGCCCCCACTGAAAGATCAAGGCTATGCTCACACTCAGAGAGCAGCCGTCCTCCTGTGGACTCACCACCTGCAGAGGGTCAGTGAGGGGCTGGTGCTGTGAGACTTGGGTGGCATCTCTGATTGCCACCCCCCTGACCCAGAAATGGATTAAAGGGTAGAAAATGGATGGATGGATAATTATTAAAACATTTTTTTTTTCTTTTTTTTTTAATGACCTCTCGCGGTTATGAAGGCACAAACTATCCTCCTCAATTTATAAAAGCAGCTTTTCTTTGCTTCCAGAGACCCATGCCTCCAGCTCACGACCAGGACACTGCTGGTCAGAATGATACTGACCGCTCCAAGTCAAGATCTGGGTCCAGAGAAGGGGATCCCAGCCAGGACTCTGACCAGGACCAAGATCAGCCTGACCAGGACCAAGATCAGCCAGAGCACGACCCGGAGACAGAAAACCAGCGGGACAGGTCCAGGTCCAGGTCCAGGTCCAGGTCCAAGTCCAGAGAGGGGGAGCGCAGGAGGGATCGCAGGAGAGAGCGCAGGGACCGATCCAGATCCAGGTCCAGAGGGCGGAGAGAGCGCTCCAGATCCCGAGAGAGGAACAGGGAGCGAGAGCGCTTCCACAGGGGCCACATTGGACGGTAATGACATCTTTGCCAGCAACAACATAATCTTTTAGAGGCTCCACCCACGCTCATTTTAAAACAAAACTATTGCCCCTAAATCAGTTTATGTTCTTTACACCATGGTCCATGTTTAATTAACACTCAAAAAGTGTTTCACTTTTTAAAAAACACAATTGACAGGTTTTTGCATATATTTTCTATTTGAATGATTTCACATTTGAAAAAAACCTAAATACTTAAATAAACAGCGTTAATATCATGTTTAAGGTTTTAGCAGTAACAAATCAAAGCAAAATGTTAATACTCTAACACCAACCATTGATCCTCCTCCCACACAGAGACTGGCGCGGGGACCGATACGACCGACGAGGGCCCAACTGGGAGCCAGAGGGAGAGACCAGGAGGCGAGGCCGGTCCTCCTCCCCTGCTGAGCGAGAGAGTGGGCCGGCGGGAGAAGAGCCTCCAGTGAAGAAGAAGAAAGAGGACCTGGACCCCCTTCTGACCCGAACAGGAGGGGCCTACATCCCCCCCGCCAAGCTCCGCCTCATGCAGCAGCAGATCAGCGACAAAAGCAGGTCAGACTCCTCTCCCAAACCAGTCACAACCATGGTCACAACATGGTTCTCTGTTGCTGCTTCGGCGAGTAAAGCTGGGGTTCCTAATTTTTGATTTAGCAAATAATACATGGCAACAGGAAAGTGTTTTTGCATAGCACGGTTCAGACACAAGGCGCCAGACGCCTAGAAATTCTGTCCATAAAGATGGTGAACAGATCCGGTGACAAAGGGTAGCGATGCGAAATGCAGCTCTGGCTCCGAACATAAATGGACTGGACGGCCCTCAGCAGAGGGCCCTTATTCCCGGAGAACCCACCAAGGGACACGGTCGAACAAATTCTCCAAATCCACAAAGCAGCCTGTCCACATGCCCAACTCCCTAGCCTGACTCTCGCCAGACCCTTGTAGTTCCGCCATGCTCCACCAGAGGCGTCTTGGCTGAACACAAGGGTCTCGGATCGAGCGCAATCCAAACTCCTTCAAGACAGCAAAAAAAAAAAGGAACCAATCAGGATCGCCGGTGTGACGTCGGTTTGCACCGCCTTCTCGTGCGTTTCTCACGGCAGCCGAACCAAACAAAGATGGTGGACATAAAGTCTGAATTTCTTTTAAAAGTTTAAATACGAACAAATTAAGACACGGATGTCACTTATGACATTAATGCAATATGAGGTGAGCTGTTGATGGTTCCATGTAGTTATATGTGTGTTTTAAGAGTAAAATGTTTGCGTAGTTTGATTTAACTGCTGTCAAAAACTACACTACGCAGCAGGGTTGCCAGGTTGGGTGGTTTCCCGCATACTTTTGTTCCAAGCGACTTGTAGGTATTAAATAGACAAACAGACAATACACAGAATCATGATAGTTGTAAGTTGAATGCATTACTTTTTTTTTTGCCAAAAAATCATTCTGGGTGTTTTTTGGGGTATTTTTGTGGGTTTTGGGGTGGAAAATCTTGCCGCATTGGGCAACCCATGGGAGTCGTGTGCTGAATCGTGTGCTTTGATGTGAGTCTTTGAAGTAACAAACAAAATAACGGACAAGTGGTTTACCCAATCACATACAAGGATTTTTTTATTTTACAAGGCCGGCCTTCTGAAGCACATCTCTTATCGAGAAATCCCAGACCCTTGAGGGAAGCTCAGCGAATTACAAGGATCTGGTGATCCCAGAGTATCCGATGACGAGTATAGAGCTGGTCCAGTGTTCTGCGGCTGATACACTAACAAGCACATAATTAATTGTTTATTAGTGAAGGCTAATCTAAAGCATTACCGTTATTATTTTGATACATAGTTCAGTTTTTGTACCTCCTTTTTTTTTGTCACTGACTTTGTTCCAATTAAAACGATAAAGCTGAAAAGGTATTTTAGTGGCATGTGCTGGCACTGGGAAGATATGCTTTGAAGAGTTGTTTCTGTAGCTGGCATTGCTGTTTCCAAACTGCCAATAAGTAATATAATGTAAATTAAATAATCTAACTATCCTCATATTTTTTAACCAAGGTTGAAAACGGCACGATATTATATTTAGACTGTAATGTGTGTCCCCGTGCAGTCTGGCCTATCAGAGGATGAGCTGGGAGGCCCTGAAGAAGTCCATCAACGGTCTCATCAACAAAGTCAACGTGTCCAACATCGTGAACATCATCCAGGAGCTGCTGCAGGAGAACATCGTGAGGGGCAGGTGGGTCCCATCCATAGACTGTATATAGATCGGCAATGCTAACTTGCTAGCTCAATGAAGCTCAATAGGGAAGGGCTCATGGATGCGGCTTTACTCCTATTCTTGGGTTTCATTTGACGTCGGGGCAGTGGCGCGAATGACATACGTGGAACAGGACCGGACGTACATACACGGAGATATAGTAGAAGAAGAAGCTCTAATATCTTACACAGAAATAACACAATTTCAAATTTGACTCGGACTAAGCGTTTAAATACATTTTGACATCTTGTATCTTGTATGTTTGATATCATGCTTGTTCATATGTATGTCACTTAACATGCACTGTCCCAATCAAATAAACCAATACATACAGATGCAAATACAACATCAACATATGACATATGTGTTTTTACATTTGAAAGATACATTATGTGTGTCTCAGTAATTAGCGTTAGCCTAAATATGCTAATAAGCATGCCAAAAATAGCTATCTTATCGCCGCAACTCATAAAAGTTACTTAACCTGTTAAAAATAAGGCGACAACCTTCTTTTGTCCCTAGATTGTTGACCCAACCCGAGACAAAATAATTGTATGCCTGCAGGCTTTTGAAAGCCTTCATTTGTGTTGCAGTGTAGTAGGACGTCTCTAGCAGCAGGTAGTTGATGATGTCCATCGCCTCCACCGCTGGTAAATCCTCCATTCTGTATTTGAACACACTTTTTGTGCGCGGCCAGCCCTTTCTTATACTTTCTTCCATTGTGCTATGTTGTGAACGGGTGATGAGCAAGGCTTTCTCAGATAAGCGCCGCCTGCATGCCGCCCGAAACTAAACGCAGCAATTTCTTTCGTTAAGACTTTTTTTGAGAAATATTTTTTTGTACTTCCTTAGAATTGAGTGTCCCCCTTCCGATTTAAGACTTAAGACAACATGATTCTTTTGACTCCAAAACAGACAATATTTACATGGTTTTCAATGGGAACAACAAAACTGAGTTGTCTGAGCTCTGCTCATTCGCCCCCTACAGGGAAGGTTAATGAAACCCAAGAATTGACTCACATTGAAAAGAAAACTCCTGTAGCTCAGTGCCCTGTGTTAGTTGTTACATGCCAGTTGGCCCCTTCAGATAACCCCTACTCTTCTCCTCAGGGGTCTTCTGGCTCGCTCCGTGCTCCAGGCCCAGGCTGCCTCTCCCATCTTCACCCACGTCTACGCCGCTGTGGTGGCCATCATCAACTCCAAGTTCCCCCAGATTGGAGAGCTTATCCTCAAGCGGCTCATCCTCACCTTCAGGAAGAGCTACCGCCGCAACCTAAAAGTAAAGGCCTCACACACACACAGACATACCCTTATGCACACGCAGAATAATAAACACATGCATACAGACATACACGCACGCACACATGCACAAACTTTTATTCTATATCTGCAAGTTAAACCTCATATTTGTTTTTACAGCAACAGTGCCTCACGGCTTCCAAGTTTGTGGCACATCTCATCAACCAGAACGTGGTATGTCCCTTTCCACTTTTATTTCCACTCTTACAGACAGGCTTTAATATCTGTGCTTCAGACTCCGAGCATTAAAGGGACATTATGTAATATTAGTGGTCTAAAAAGGTCATTGCAAATACAATTGCAAATTCCAGAATCTTTCTCTGAAGAATCTACCTAAACTCCAGCTGGCCGATTGCATCAATAATCCGTGAAATATAGCTATTTTTGACTTTTATATTTATTTCACAAACAAAGAAATATGCTGTGAAATATAACCTTGTTTTGCATTCTTATAGAATGGTCTGCTTAAAAATTGTAAACACAAACATTATGTAGAGCATTGTATTTTTAATTAATAAATGACGTTGCATAAAGTGACAGAGCCACACAACAGGACTCTTGTGAGACATGCGCCGACTTAGCTCTTTGCTCACATGGTTTTGGATAAGCCTGGGGCTTTCAATTGTGTAATGATGACCCACACGGCCTCCTGTCCAGTCCCACGAGGTGCTGTCCTTGGAGATGCTCACGCTGCTGTTGGAGCGGCCCACAGACGACAGCGTGGAGGTGTCCATCGCCTTCCTCAAGGAGGTTGGACTGAAGCTCACCGAGGTGTCGCCCCGAGGAATCAACGGTACGGCACTCCTCCTCTTTACTCGATGACATCCCAGTCAGGGCTGCCCTACTTTTTCAATCAGTTCTCACAGGGGTGGGGTATTTATCCAGGAGGGGGCATATTGGAATATTGTGATAACGTGAAAGCTACTTAAGTTACAGTGGGTCCCTCACAAACAAGTGGTTAGAAAAGTGTGTGGTGATGGGTTTTACAGCCTTAAAATCATACAGCGGCTACTTCCAAGGATTTCTCTTATTGGGACTTAGTTGTTAATGCATCAATTATACATAGCGCTCTTTTGGACACTAAAGACGCTTCACATGTCACTACTACTGTAGCTACAGCTGCCCTGGGGCACACTGACTGAAGTTAGGCAACCCAAATGTGACTTCGGCCTCTCTGACCACCCACAATCAATCACGCACACACCAGACTCGGTCTAGGCAATGTTAATCAAGTGTCCTGTCTAAGGACACAATGACAGCTTGGCACTTTACAACTGCACATGTTCTTAGAGGTCTCCCATTACAGTTCTAACCAGGCCCTGCCCTGCACAGCTTAAGAGATTTGACGGGATCTGGCTTTCACATACAATTGCCACAATAAACAAGGGACCGCTGTAAAACCCAATTGGACTTATTGGAAAGAAAAAAGGGTTCCATGTTCATGGGAATAAAAATAGGGTGGCTGTGTTCTTGCTAAAAATTATCTTCAGAATGATGTCTTATATTAAGCCCAAGCCTGGGGTCTCCTTGATTCTGCCCGTTCAAGTCATCAGGCTGTTCTCATTAGTGCATGCTCGCACCAAGGATGTCCCAAACATAAACATAAGTGACACGTTTTGGCCAGCTCTAGTTCTCCCGGTCTTGTGCAGTGGTTCTCCTCTGGACCAGAGTAACACAGGAGCGTTCTGACCAATCAGAGCACCCCTGATAAGGCGGTGCTGATAGATATCAAAAGAAAAAAAGTTCATGAAGAAAAGAGACACTAACATCCCCACAAAATCTGACCTTTGTTAAAGCTGTAGGTTTCCTGTCTCTGAGGATGATCATAAATCCATGAACATGCCATATTACCCCAGACTCTCGGGGGCTACACTGACATTAATCTACGATGTCCCGTAGGGGGCACAAAATACCTTAAATCCTAAAATCTTTCTGTATTTGACTGTGTAAGTGACCTCCGTCTTGTGCCCTGTCACGCAGCTATCTTCGAGCGGCTGCGGAATGTCTTGCACGAGTCGGCCATCGACAAGCGCGTGCAGTACATGATCGAGGTGATGTTCGCCATCAGGAAGGACGGCTTCAAAGACCACCCAGTGGTCCCAGACGGCCTGGACCTGGTGGACGAGGAGGACCAGTTCACACACATGATGCCCCTGGAGGATGAGTACAACACAGAGGACATCCTGAGTAAGCACGCACACACAAGCACGCACATACACACACACTCACTGAAGCCGAGGACACACAATTGGACACAAATCATAAAAGTGATGCAGAATGGTTTGATTCTTTTAAACCAGAGCAGACACTTAGTTGTCACTTTAAACAATAATTTTGAAGCACCTTAAAGAGTGGTGGTGTCTTCCTGCTTAAAACCAGACTTCATCACTATCAGATTTACATCACAGGAAATTCAAACAAATGTGACAGAAGAACTTTGTTCCTACTTGAACAGTTTTTTGCTGTGTGTTTGGGGGGTTATTTATCCTGTAAAACTATCGAGAGATGTAAATCGAGATATATTGTTTCCATTATATTCTTTTTCTCTCCATGATTGCAGGTGAGACACTGCCTTAGGGTGTATTCAGACCTGCACATTTGCTCCACTTTAAACGGACTAGGATTCGTTTGGAACTCTGATCCGAAGCTTTTATGCAGGTCTGAATACACACAAACGAATCCTGGTCCGGACCAAAGAACCGAACCGAGACCCACTTTTTTAGTTGGTCTCGGTCGGCTTCCAAACGAATTCTGGTCCAAGTCGAATCAGGTCTGAATACATCCGGTGTCGATCCGACACATCTCCAAGATTCGTGCGCATTTTTTGGGCTTAACAAGCCGCAGACAGAAACTGTGAGGAATTAGCCACGCGTCACAGCGGCTAACTATGCTGCCAACGCTACACAACAACAATGAGCCGTGTGCAGACCTGGAGCAGTGAGGAGACGCTGTGCAACAGGCTTATGGAGTTCAAACTGTTCACAGGATACATTGATGTTAATGGCAGCATCTTCAAACCATTTGCATTATTAAAAGCCTGACACTGTTTGACTCACGTCTCAAAGAGCATTATTCCACATCATGTAGTGAATTGTGTTCTTTGGCTCATACCTGATCCTCAGCGTCTGTTTGTCCCGTTATTATTATAGATCCATGTGTGGGACAGGGCACGGAGCGCACAGACAGTCTCCATCGGCTTTCTCCTCACGCATTCTCCGACGCTGTTCCAATATTTAAAACGTGTTTCGCCTGTGTCATATGAGCTGCTGTTGTTGATGTTGAAGGTGGTTTTGCTCTAAAAAGAGAAAACATAGGCAGAGCAGACATGCTGCACATAGGAGCCCTCAATGTTTTCTGCCGGTTCCGCGTCTATCCTCCGTGAGCTCTCTCTGTCCAATAGGAGCGCCGACCATCACACGTGTCTATATGTTTATATAAAAAAGTTCACTTGCAAAAAGGACAGTCTGAATACGAACCGGAGCAAAAGAAAAAAGTTTGGTCCGCTTTTGATTCGGATCAAGCAAGTGGAGCAAAGGACTTTTCAGGTCTGAATACACCCTTACTTGCCTCCCTAGACCACAGGTCACTGCTTAAGGCTGTCCTGGGTCGGGAGGCCGCTTCCTCCACCAAAGGCGACACAACTGAAATCTTTTTCCTTCTGTTTGATTTCAGACGTGTTCAAGTTGGACGCAGACTTCCTGGACAATGAGGAGAAGTACAAGACGCTGAAGAGAGGTGAGTCTCTCTTGCTCCCGGATGCCCAATGGAATTTTCTTCGGTTTGATTTGACACCCCCTGTAGCTGTTGACATTATGAACAGCTAATATTGCTCTCCCCTGGCACCTCTGATGCAATTTTGAGATGTCATATGTACTAAATGTAAGGCAAGGCAAGGCAAGTTTATTTGTATAGCACAATTCATACACAAGGCAACTCAAAGTGCTGAACAAGATGCATTAAAATCATAAATAATTACAGAACATTAAAACAAAAGATAAAAATATAAAATCCCTCAGTTGTATGCACAGCTAAACAGCACCGTTTTTAACCTGGTTTTAAACATTGTCAGAGAGGAGGCCTGTCTCACATCTTCAGGAAGATTGTTCCAGATTTTAGCAGCATGAATCTGAAAAGCAGCCTCCCCATGTTTAGTTCTGACTCTGGGCACTAACAGGAGTCCAGTCCCTGTGCTCCTCAGATGTATTGAGCCATGGGAACGTGACTGTATCTTACAGGTGTTCAAATGGGTTGCACAGCCTGAAATTAGCTGAACTGACCTGTGTGTGTGTCTGTGTCTATGTGTGTGTGTGTGCACGTGCAGATATCCTGGACGAGGGAAGCAGTGACTCCGGAGATGAAGCAGACGGCAGCGATGATGAGGAGGATGAGGAGGAGAAGGAGGAAGGGGAGGAGGCAGATGGTGCGAAACACTTTGTACAGAACCCAAATGAGCAAACATTGTTTTAGTGCTTTTCCATTGTTTCTTTCTAATGTTTTTAATTTGTCATTTAAAAAAAACAAAACATGTAAATATTGTCCAGATTTCCTTAATTCTCTGGCTTTGGAACGTACCTGTGTATATAAACTGCACCATTTGAAAAGAAAGTACATGTTGATCATGTGTAAGCCACACTTGACTGTAAAGTGCAGGTTCATGTTGTACCTATCCAACAGCTCACGGACAGCAGCAACCAAAACCATCTTCTGTACTTTCATATTTGGATCCGGCTCACTACTTAGCAACAGGAGCAACATTCCTACACCGAGCTCTATTTAGCATCAGGTCAAATTGACCCGAGGATTGGACTAAGTTGTACCCAAAGCTGAACTTGGATGATTTTTTGACTTGACCAGCCCTGGGTTATTTAGACCCGAGCACAGCACAAGGGTTAATAACCACTAAATAATGCAATGACATTTTAGCTTCCTTGCTCTGGTCAAATCAATGCAGTAAATTAAATCTGTTGACGGAATCAAGAAAACCCATGAACTCTTAAATGCCTCGGTCTTTTCTTATACGTGTGACAAAAATCTTAAGGAGAGTTTTGTGTCCGTGCTCTATGCATCTTTTGCATCCAGGAATCTGGAATGTGTGATCAACAGCTGTTTACGTCAGCTCTTTAGCCTTTAGCTTCCAGAGGGCGCCCTCACACAATAAAAATACAGACATTAGCCTCATCTCTAAATAAACCGCAAGTTTTTAAAGTGCTTGACAAAGGTAGCGTCTTATAGGCCGAGAAGTACAGTATGTTTCAAGACCAATATAAACTAAAGTTCCTCTTTGCCATGTTATTGGCGTTATTGTGACTGATTATTTCCCATTATCAGCCGATGTCATCGAGCATCCCTATTATGAGTGTATTGGTTTGTAAAGCCTGATTAGAGAGGTGTGTGATTTACAGGAGAGAAGGTGACCATCTTTGACCAGACTGAAGTGAACCTTGTGGCCTTTAGGAGGACCATCTACCTGGCCATCCAGTCCAGGTATATCCCCCACACACACAGCCGAGGCTCTGGGCTTTCATTCACTGATGCATGCTCTGCTTCTGCCCCACAGCTTGGACTATGAGGAGTGCGCTCACAAACTTATCAAGATGGAGTTCCCAGACAGTCAGACGGTACGCTCATGTTCCTCTCTTCACCTGCCAAATAGAAGATTATCATCATTTCTCCACTTACCCTCATTAAACATTTTTCCCAGGATTGTGATCAAATTTAAATGCATCTCTAGTGACATTGCTTTTTTTCTGATTCCCAAATCAGTGCAAATGTGTGTATTTATGTCATATCTTTGGATCCGAATTTCGAAAAGTAAAAAAGGAGAGGACCACCTTCACTCATCTCTCAGCCCAGAGTGTACACTTTCTGGATCCTTTCTGAAATCTCCAACATAGAAAATTCTGAAATGTTGGCCACATCGTTCATTTCTTAGTAAAGGTTTACAGAAAAAGCTAATTGTTTGTACGTCGGTGCATTTGATAAAGTTGACCCAGGAAGTTGTATTTAGCTTAATCCATGGAGAGAGCAGGTCCTCCCTGTCCATGTGTTTTATGTTTTAAAGTAAAGAATGTGGATGTTGTTCTCATGTGTAGCTCTGACTCTACTGTGCTGCTGTTTGCAGAAGGAGCTGTGCAACATGATCCTGGACTGCTGCGCTCAACAGAGGACCTACGAGAAGTTCTTTGGGTTGCTGGCCGGGGTGAGCTCCACCAGGGTCTACAGACAAGTGTCTGAGGCCGAGTGAACACAGACTGACCGTTTTTGTGTGTGTACGTGCGTGTGTGTGTGTGTGTGTGTGTGTGCGCGTGTGTGTGCGCGTGTGTGTGTGTGCAGAGGTTCTGTCTGCTCAAGAAGGACTACATGGAGAGCTTCGAGGCCATCTTTGCAGAGCAGTACGAAACCATCCACCGCCTGGAAACCAACAAGCTGAGGAACGTGGCGCGCCTGTTCGCCCATCTGCTCTACACCGACTCTGTGCCCTGGAGCGTACGTCCTTCGCCTCCTCACAACCGTTTAAACCGTTGTAAATTTTTCCTTTGTGAGATAAATAAAGCTTATCTTAAGTCTCATAGGGTCATCAGTGTTCAGGTTGATGCACAGAGATTCTGTTAATGAGCCCCAACATTATTTATTTCTGCTACTGCTGAAAAACACAAATGAGCAACTGTTATTGTTCGAAATCTCAAAGCGCTCTCCCTGCTCAGGTTCTGGAGAGCATCAAGATGAGCGAGGAGACCACCACGTCCTCCAGCAGGATCTTTGTGAAGATCCTCTTCCAGGAGCTGTGTGCTTTCATGGGGCTGCCCAAGCTCAACCAGAGGCTCAAAGACCCGTAAGAACGCATTCAATTCAATATATTTATGTATTACCCTAACTCACAATCAAACAGTTTGACAGGCTGTAGAACCAGAACACATGCCTTGTATGCTCAGTGTGTGTCTGTGAATCTTCCAGGACCTTGCAGCCGTTCTTTGAAGGTCTCTTTCCTCGGGACAATCCCAGAAACACACGTTTCGCCATCAACTTCTTCACCTCCATCGGTCTGGGAGGACTCACGTAAGTCTGGGGAAAATCCTGCCCGAAGGCACAGGAACAGCTTTGGATTTACCATAATCTCTAATTTAAATGAATGTGTCCTGATTACATATCAGAGCAGATCTGGATATTCTTTGTCTAATGAACACAATTATGGTTGGGTGGGTGCATCCAATTCCTAAGTTTCAAAGTACTTGGCTATCTGCTGCCACCTACTGATATGACAAAGTATTACGTGGTTACTCCACAGTTCAAAACAAGTCAGCGCTCACCAGTGTGCCGCGGCACAGTGGTTAAAAAAACACTGACTTAAAGAACAGGTCAATAAAAACAATTAGTGCAAAATGTGTTCCACCCAAAGTGATGATTATCCTGTGTTTCCTTCTCCCTCCAGAGACGAGCTCCGAGAACACCTGAAGAACGCCCCCAAAATGATCATGACTCAGAAGCAGGAAGTAGACTCCTCAGATTCCGACTCTTCATCCTCCTCATCCTCCTCCTCCAGCCAATCAGAGTCCTCAGACTCGTCCAGCAGCAGCTCCTCAGGTAGAGATCATTGTTTACAATCTTCACATGGCTGCGGCCTAACAAGGCTAACTGCTAACAGAGGTGGCATTTCCTCCTTCCTCTGCTCAAATAGTCCGTGAGACACAACCACTGTAGTTAAACTCAACCATTACAGTATTATAGAGACACAAGAGTCCAAACTGCTTTTCTTACTAACACACTGCTAATAAATCAGCTAAAGCAAGATTATAGCATTAAAGCAAGAAAATATGAACACCAGGGTCAACAAGGGCAATTAAACCACTGATTTCTTTTAAGCCCGAAGTATGAAGATACCAAGATAGTTTACTTTTCTACTTAAGACAATAGGAGCCACACTTCCCTATTGGGCTTCATTGGGCTAGTGGGTTAGCATCTTTGATCTATACAGTCTATGGCAGGGGTCTCTAACCTGTAGCTCGGGAGCCACCAGTAGCTCGCCAGCCCCTTACAGGTAGCTCGCCAAAGAAATTAGACTTTAACAAATACACTTAAACGAATACTTTTTGACCCATTACATATCTATTATAAGTATAAATATAGGGTTATACAGTAATATGGTGTATTTTATAAGTTCTCCAAGTTTAGCCGTAATTATTAGATCCATTTTCATTATGACTGCAAAAATGAGTAGCTCTCTGCCGGTTTGTTTGTATAAAATTAGCTCTCTGATTAAAAAAGGTTGGAGACCCCTGGTCTATGGGAAATACACAGGACTGTCTTTTTTTGTTAGGGTTTTTAAGGGTCTTAAAACTCTGGAAAAAATTGCTAAAACTTAAACCCCTTGTATTTTTTACAGATTCTGATGAAAAACACAAGAAGAAGAAGAAGCGCAAACAGCAAACCAAAAAGAAGAGCAAAAAGAAAGCACAAAAAGAGGACAGGTCAGATCACAGAGACAGAAGCATGCAGGACCAACGGCGGACCAGGGAGGACCCCAGGGAGGACCCCAGGGAGGACTCCAGAGAAGACCCCAGAGAAGAACATAGAGAGGACAGAGCCAATAGGAGGCAGGAGAGGAGAGACGAGTGGGTGGACAGGAGAGGGGAGAGGAGTGACGATATGAGAGAAGACCGCAGAGAGGACCGAGCGGACAGGAGGGGGGAGAGGAATGAGTGGGTGGGCAGAAGAGGGGAGAGGAGCGAGGACCAAAGAGAAGACAGGAGGGGGGACAGGAGAGACGAGTGGCCAGACCGAAGAGAGGAGAGGAGCGAGGATCCGAGAGAAGAGCACCGAGAGGACCAAGGGGACAGGAGGAGGGACGACCGGAGAGACAGAGCAGACAGAATGGACAGAGACGACCACGAAGCAGACAATAGACAGAAGGAGGACCGCAGGAAAGCAGAGGACAGGCATAAAGACAGAGAGACCCAGGATACCAGGGAGAGAGAGCGCAACAAGGAGAACAGGGACAGGAACCGTGAGGAGCGCAGGCACAGGTAGGACCAGACTAGACCGGACCGGGCTCTTTTCTATCGTGACGTTTCGTTGCAATTCTAAATGAACTGTGTATAAAACATTAAAGTTGTTAAGATTTTTGTAATGAAGGCTTTTGGTGGTTGTCTTCTGTATGTTCTTTTTTTATTTTTTACAATGGGGTTTAAAAGATTACAGTCAAAACTATGGGTGCGTTCATGTGATATCACAACGTTTCAAAGTACCTATAGATTCACATTGTGGCGGAGGGAAACTAAAAAAAAAAAACCTGGTGACTATGGCAATCCTCAAAAGTGTTAGTTTAGAATGGGTCATCCAGCCAACTTGAGCTCCGGAAATATAGGCATGCTGTACCTCATTGTAAAAGCAGAAGTAAAAGCAAAAAGCAGTTTATTTGTACAGATGGATTTTGTGATTTTGATTGTGTCCCCAAATTCCATATATGGTGCGAATATAGAGAGATAGTTAACATCAATTATGTCAACCGTGAATCAATCTGGATTATGGACATATCAAACCATTTTAAAGCCCAGAACAGTCCAATACAGTCAACTGTTTTACAATCCGGGTGGTCGGCCCTGGACTTGTCTGGTGAACCCTCTGGTTTGCACCCCCCTGGTTTAGAGCTAATCCCTCTGCAATCCCTGGAACAATCTAGATGAAACAAAAACGGTCACAAAGTTCCACATCTTTTGTCAGCACATATCAAGGATGCTTTCATTATTGTCTCCTAAAGCGGTATAGATGGATGGAAACTATTGATCCTTTGACTTGTATACCATAAAAATCCAACATTAATTCTGTGCTTTTAATAATCTGCACCCTAACCCATTGCAGCAGGAATTAGTCTGTCAGCATTGACCGTAAATGGATGTACATTTCTAACCTGCAATCTTAATGAGGCTCAGATAGGAAAGTGGATCAGAGCTTCTGAGGTTTGTGTTCAATCATCAGCCACACAAAAAAATATTTCAAGAAATGAACAAACTTCATGGATCTCTTTATGGCTTTTTTCACTCTTAGTTTTTACAGACACACACAATGGGCCTCGTGTATGAAACTTGCGTACAGCCAAGTCAGGGTGTAAATGAGGCGTACGCAAAAAACGTACACTTTTCGGTATTTATCATTCTGGACGTGAGCACAGAATTTACACCAAGTCAAGGAGTTGGTGTAAATGTGTACGCTCATTTCAACCTTTATTATATACAGTCTATGATTACAACACGCCAAAACACGCATGCAATCCAAGATTCGGGCAACTACAAACATATTCCCTCTCTGACAAAATTATAAGCTGCGTTTTTATTGAGCATGTTTCAAAACACATTTCGAATGGATCACAGATCATGATACGTTCATGATGAGGACCCTCTTCTGTTTCTTTGATTTTAAATCTGACTTGTGTGTATTATTTTCATCTGTATGTTGTTTTTATTTTTTATGTGAAGCGCTTTGTGATCCTGCTCTGTGAAGGCGCTATACAAATACACCTGGCTTCCTTACTTAATGTGTGACCATCTATTTCTCTGTAAATCTGTGGCAGACCCTGCGTAAATACACATGGCTATTTGTTTTGTGGTTTTGTCTCATTCACCTCTGGCAAAGCAACATACATCCATCCATTTTCTTCCCCTTAATCCATTTCTGGATCAGGGGGTGGCCAGAGATGCCACCCAGTACACAGAGCACCAGCCCCTCACTGATCCTCCTGCAGGTGGTGAGTCCACAGGAGCTGAGATCTTTCAGTGGGGGCTTCAGGCAAAGTGGGGTTAAGTGTCTTGCCCAAGGACACAATGACAGCAGTCATCAGTGGGAGTTGTGAAGTAGGTCTTACGGTGGGCTTGAACCCATGACCTTCAGGCTCAAAGGCCAATGCTCTACCAACTGAGCTACTGTCGCCCTGGCAAAGCAACGTATTTCTTCATTAAAGCGCTTTTTTGTGGGAACGGGCAGTGCGCACTGCGGAGCAGGTGCCACAGAGGTCCCACAGTGAGACATACGCATCCTTTCTCTCTCATCGCTCCATTGCATTCACAAGAAGATGTCGCTGACGCTTGACCCAGATGAGAGTCACCGCTGAGACCGTTCGTTCTGCAGTGGGTCTAGACACTAGGGAAAAAACGCGTATATACAGTATAATATAGCGGGGTTTTCTTTGACAAAATAATACAATATAAACTCTGCGTGTCACTAAAAGGCCTTCTGATGCTTCAAACTAGACTTGCTGGCCGGCTTCCACGCTGACCTGTCGTAAAAACGGGGCGTTTTATGAATTATTCTAGGTGTGACTCTCATAAATACGCTAGTTTTGAGCGCGGCATTTATCAACAGCCACAGCTGCGTACGCTCAGATCAGTGCGTATCTCACACGTTCATTAATCCCGCGTTCAGTCTGGCGTAAATGGAATATACACCAAAAATATACACCCTTTTCTGCGAAACTTTCATAAATGAGGGCCAATGTGCCTTGAGGATGCAAGTGAATGTGTGAATAATTATTATTATAATTGAATAACAACAATGTGAATATTAATATAATAATGCACTACAAAAGATAGTTGTAAAACTTAAAATTCCGTTTTGAGTGAATTCAATCTAACTTTGTCCACAAGTTGGCTTAAATGTGTATAGGGCTATAAGCTTCCAAATGCTTGCATTTCAATCACCAGCCTATTGGACTTGGAGTAAACAGCAACAACACCATTCCCAACCCGTAAAAAGAATTGAAAGAATGTCACGTTTTCATGGCTCTCTTGTCTTGTTATAGTTATGTGAGAAGATGAGACGGTATTAATTTGAAACCACATTTGAAACAATTAATCAAATTCTGCTTTTCAATAACTGCTGTGATTATATTTGTCCACTAGATGTCAGAGTTACGATCTAGTCTGAGCTCAGACGCTTCAACACATTTGAAACAGTCTGCCAATGAGAGCCAGTGTGTTACAGGGCTTCATATGCCCATAGCTAAACAACACTTTCGTCACTCCCGCAGCATCCACTGGCACCTGCGTATATGCCGAGAATGCACGGTTTAGATCTATACAGAATAAATATGTAGCCTTTTGATCAGAGTTAGGATGCTCGTAGCCCATCACTGACATTGCAGTGCGGAAGCAGAAAACACTCAATACAGCACAAGAGTTTAATGTGAATGCCACACAGAGGTTACAGTCAGAGAAGCGTATTCATGTGGTTTAGTAAGAGCACTATTAAGAGCACTGTTTTGAGCACTTTTTTTTCAGCCTTTCAACCTGTTTCTCTGTGTGTTCAGCTTGAACTTCCAAGTACAGTGATAGATCAGAACATAAGTAAATGGGTAAAATGATCCACCACAATACTTTTTTCTGATTACTCACATTTTAGGACGCTCGGAGAACACAAAAAATGTGTTTCTTGACACTGGCTCAGGGCTGGACTGGGACAGAAAAACGGCCCGGGCATTTTTTCCTTCTTACCGGCCCAGGCATGTTTTTGTCACTTTTTTACAGTTTGTTTATACCAGGGATCGGCAACTCAAAAGGTTCAGAGCCATATTTGACAAAAAAACTAAAAACATCTGTCTGGAGCCGCAAAAAAATAACAGCCTTGTATAAAGCTTATATGAAGGTTACACAATGTAGCTACATTAGCCTAATATCTAAATGACCAAGTAAAGGCTACAAATACATAATAAGCATTCATGATTATCAAATGTGTGTTTTCACTGCAGCGTGTCCTGGAGAGAATGACTCTGCTTTAACTTTGACTTCCATTTATTTGCCTTCATGCAACTGTAGAAATACAGTAAATAAATCTGCTTTTTGGCTCAAAGGTCACACACCTGCACTGTCCACTCATATCGATTACGTCACAGGCTGAAGTTTGCTGGAGCTGAATGTCCTTAATGGCCTTTTCTTTCACAGTCTTTGCGGAGGTTTTTGAAGTCTGAAAAAGGTGCTCCGGATTTTGTATGAAAGAATCCTTCACGTAATCCCTGTGAACGGTGTTTAGTGCTTCATTGTTCCTCGTGTTGCAACAAAACTTCATCGCAAACATGAAGCAGTCCTTCCTCATTGACTGAAAGCAAATGTTCAGTCTTGTCCTTAGTCCAGTCTTATTATCGACTCTTTCTCTTTTTATCTTTGGGATCCGTGCGCACACGCCGGTTTGTTTACAGCAGCAGCCGCCTGGCGCGGGGCTGGGTCACAGGATATGACTCACTACGTTGACAGAAATGTTGAAATTGAATGTTACTTATACACATTTTTACAGCATTGAAATACGTTAGGAATGTTTTTCCTCTCACAGAAACCACATTCAAACTAGGAATAAAATATAGCCCTCCCACTCCATTTTCAGACATTTTTGAAAAGGCTCCAGGAGCCACTGGAGGAGCACTAAAGGTTGCCGACCCCTGGTTCATACAGTATGTGGAAGCATACTGTAGAGGATCAGGATGTCTGTAGTTTCAACAAAAAAATAAAGTGCAATAGTCTACATTACAAGAGAGTAATAAACATGTCTCAGAGTGAGGGAGGTGGGCACAGACAACACTGTTGTTTGTTACAGGGATGAGAATTGGTCAAAAAAGTCTGAAATGCATAATGTCAGCCATTGGCTGGCTCTAAATCTGTTTAATTTGTTCACAACATTTTACTTTTGGGCTCAAACATGAACTTTTAATGCAATGGAAGATTTAGGTACCCGAGCTTTAATTTAGTCGCACTTCGAGAGGAGAGGGGAGACGCGGACTTTTTCCTGCAGCGGTGTATTTGTTGGGTGCACAAATTACGCAAAGATATGCATGGTCCTGTTCGCGTTTATGGTCTTGGGTACATGGTCACGTTGTGGCTACGCGCTCACCGTGTTGTGTTGTGAGCGGTTCCCGCGTCCAGCTCAGAGCCGCTGGATGCCGGAACACTGCAGCCGCTTAGGTGGTGGAATCCCGTTTGAGTACGAACAGCAGGTGCCCCGCGGACACGCGCGCTCCCCTCAAACATTTCTCAACGGATTTACACTTTTCACAAACATTTTTTGTATGAGACAAACAGACCGGCCCAAATATGGGCATCGGCCCTTCGGGCATTGCCCGGTACGCCCAATGGCCAGTCCAGCCCTGCACTGGCTACATCACTTGACTTCACTGATCGCTTTTCAGAAAGCGCTGCCAGTTGGACTTTACTTTAACTAAACAGTAGCCTACTTGTAGAGTTTGGCGGCTCGCTATTTTATCAAAGCGAGGAAGACAGCCAATCACAGCAGAGAGCTGAGGGTCACTTGTTGCTGCTGTGGTGGTGAGGAAGAGGTGTGGTGCATGAACAAACTGCAGATGGTGGATGTGGTCCGGCCGGGACTTATTTTGGGTGAAGACATTTTTGGTTCTCACCAAATATTGGTGGGGACATGTCCCCACGGCCCCCACGCAATCCTACGCCCTTGACCTGTACAATATGTCCATGACTGCACCTGTCTGGTCTTCTGAAACTCACCACAAGGGGGCGTTATTTGCTCGTAAATCCATGGGGTCTCCTGGTCAGAGGCCAGCTGATTCTGCAGTCTGTCCTCTATGGTCTGTCCGAACTTCTGTTTATACTTGTTACAGACAGATAGATATGTATAGAATTGTGCTAAACTTATATTCACGTATCTTGTGTTCCTGTCCTCCTCATTCTATAACTATAACACTGAAATTTCTGGAACTGGAACGAGTAAAGGATCTTAATCTTAATATATTAAGGTCTACTGTCAATTACACACAAACACACACACATATACATACAAGAAAGTTCCACAAGAACTCGACTTGAATTATCTCAACAGAGGGATTTGTGCAGTTTAAAAAAAAAAAAAAGACAAAACAAACAAGACAAGAACAAACAAGAAGCTTCCTATTTTAACGTTTATTAAAAACAGTATTTTTGTACTTTGAGAAAAACACATACAGGCGTTCACAGACTACATGTACAGGCACCATTGGTCATACACACATGTCCGCTGGATACGTATTTGCATGAAACAAACAATTTTGGCACTGGGTAGAATAGAGTTAAAGCACTAGTTGAGTCACTTTAAAACATTCCATTCAAGTCTCATCAAAGGCTAACAAATATTGCTAATATGGGTCACTCATATTTGGCCATTTTTCATGTGTAAAATCTTGAAAAACAGCCCATACATAAGGCGGAATGTTGGTAGGATAAACAAGGACTTCTCTTTTCAAGTAAGAGAAAAATTGAGGAAATACGTTGTAAAGCACAGTTCATTCAAATGCAGAATTAATACAAAAATTCATTCAAGAAAAATACTACATTTATATCGGTTTGAAAACACAACATCCACATGAAGTAGTCTCTAAAATTATTTCATACACATGTCAATAAGATACAATTTGCATCAACAAGAAGCAGGATGTAGCGGACTTGGAGCCTCTCCGGAGAAAGCGTATTCAGAGCCCGGCTCCTAGTGCCACACGTTTAAAGTCGGTTTTCGGGTTAAAGGCAAAAAAACAATAATTTCAACATTCAAAACTTACAAGTGCTTATGACAGATTAGACTTTACTTTCACAAAACAAATAATTATGTTTTGGATTTTTCTCGAGATTTTCCATATTCCTTTCCAATTTGGCCACAATTTTCATCCCAGTTCGGTTCACAGAGCGTATATTAGGAGTGGACTGAGTGCAAACGTCGTCATAGTGTTAGCTGGAGACATAGCTGGAGAGAGTGACACCTAAAGTTCAGAAATGGATAATGAAGCCCAATACAAAAATGGGCAAGAAAAAGTTAACTCTGGCTCCTATTGACTTACATTGAAACCCTTTTTTCTTTATAGTGGTTACTTGCAGTTAGGTCAGAGGTGATGATCCAAGACAGAATATTTATGGGCCTTGGTCATCCGCCTCTTATGGACCAATGTCTCTGTGTGTTTTTTATCTTTGCATTTCTTGTGTTTGAACTGTTTGATTATCTGATCTGTATTGGCGAATCAACAATGTCTGTGATTTAGGGCAATATTAAATAAATTAAATGAATAAATAATACATTGAATTGAATTGGACTACTCTAACTTGGAAACTCTGCAATATCTGTTGTTTAGCGCTCTCTTTGACCCTGGTGTTTTTTATTGTAAATCCAGATAGAGCCCAAACAAATGACCAATCAGGAGCCTTCATTCGCGGGGAAACTCCAGCTTACCCTAGCAACCTTGTTAGCAACACATTTACCCCGTTAAAGGGCGTAGAAAACTCTGATCGATCGAACACTAGTGACATCACACTCGATCATTCCACTCCTAAACAACCTATGATGCAGATTATATGTCATTACGGCCTATTTTTATCGTTTAGACATTTTTTAGAACAGACACTTTCTCTAGCTTATAGTCGTTAGCATATAGCCTTTAGCATTTGGACAAAACAGATATAAGGAATACTCTGTTGGGGACATATTCACATAATTTCACAGACAGGTACACACCAGGTACGCTGGTTACGCACAAAGCAGGAGCTGATGACTCCTGGAGTTTGAGACTTTTAAGAAAAAGTTGGCTCTTGTCACCGGTACAGCGGGGGCAGAGCTTCACGCGTCAAAGAATAATGGGAAGGAATAACCGGTGCTTGTCTTAAATATTCACTCTATTTCTCAGTTTGAAAAAATTCTGGCATTCACTTGAAATGTCGTGTTATGTTGCATTTCGGTTGTTAAGCAGTTGCAGTAAAGTACGACATGTGCTATATAAATACATTTCCTTCCTCCCTTCCATATCTATTTGAAACAGAGGTTGTTCCACCAGGAAAAAGTCCAAACTGTCATATGCACTTCCACATTAGTATGCTCGAAATGCTTTGACATAACTACAGTACATTGGTTTCATATTAAACTGCTAATCCTAATCCAAACCCTGTGTCTCTCAAAACATGCGTTCACAAAATAATACATTTCTCAACATAAATTAAAGTATAAATAATATATCTCTGGATCTGGATTGGAAAGTTCATTACAATCTAACAAATGGGCGTAACCGTTGGTGTGTTCTCTGCCCAGCAACATCATACATCACTGTTGGCTGCTTGATTGCCCATTATAAACCAAAAAAAGTGCAAAAACCAAAACATAAAGTAACCTATGAAATAACTTAAGTAATAAATAAATAAAAGTTCAAATATTTATACCTGATAACAGCATATCTCCTCTTCGTTTTGGGAATACTATAGGCTGTAATCTTAACGCTGTGGATTCCCCAGTGAGGGACAATACAGTTTACGCTTTCTCGTCTTTAGTACGTCTCCTTTAAACAATCCCTTGTCATTTGTGCTTTTTACTTCGAACTCCGTGGAATACTCGAGGTAGATTCCAGTGAAAGCCCCGTTTCCACCAGCCCTACTCTGCTCTACTTTACTCTGCCTACCTTCTAAATGGTTGCCTTCCATTAGATTAGCCTTTAGTACTATGGGGTACCATAAACAAGCAACCGATCCACAACCAAGCAGTAGCCAGAGTCTGTGGAATTGGGGATGATAAAAATGTGCGCCACAAAAAGACTGGAGAGAGCCACGTTGGCCATAGTAATAGTAAGGGACAATAATCACATGTGGGCTGAAATAGTCAACAATTATATAAAATCCAAAATGTATTAATGCAATTGTTTGCTGGACTGTATAGTCTTTGAGCTTGCTTACCAAGCTTTATGGCTTGGAGAAAGACAGGGGTGTACCAGCTTAACACTAGGCAAAAGATTGAGGAAGGCACTCTCCTTTTCACTTTTTATGTCTGGAAAATTTCCATCTTAAGATATGACAGAGGCCAAAAAATAATCCGTGTGAAAAATAGCAATATAATACACAGTTTTCAGATAACATTGTTTGTGGATTGAAAGTTAGTTATCCCAGCTTTAAGTACACGCCAACATAGATTTTGGCCAAAACTGTGGCATTGTAGCACAATATTCAGCTATTTATTACTATAGCTTGAACAAACCAAAATGGTAAATAATAGTGACCACCCAGGTTGTGTTCTCTATGGACAAAAGAATGGACTTTTCTGGACCATACCATATCGAGTCCGCTTTTTTACTTTGCACTTGCAATACCGCAAAGCCAAGATTCCTGGCGCAATTTCAACGATCCTTTCTCCCTTGATAAAGGGTCTGCAGTTTATGTCAGGCACTGTGATTTGGCCAACAAGATGGTGGCCGCGAGCTCCTGTGCGTCCAGCGTGTGAGGGTTTGTGGCCATGGCGTGACGCACCAGCTCTGCGGGAAAGACCCCGCACAGGTTGGAGAACAGCTTTTCCCTCACGTCTCTGTACTGGTCCAGGGCTGAGGGCTGCGGGTCAGTGGGGCTCGGCCCCGTCGCTACATCTGTGTTTTTGCCAAAGAGGTGGTAGGCTTTGTACGGCTGCTGCACGTTCCAGTTGGCCTGTGCTTGATCCATAGGGCTGAACCTCGCACTGGGCTGGCCTGACTGCATGTCCCAGTCGTGGGCACTGGGCTTCTCCCAGGGCTGTGGCTTCTCCCAGGGCTGGCTCCTGTGGCTGTAGCCATGATGTGGGCTCAGCTGTAGTGGGGGCATGCGGGGCGTCTTTGGTGGGACACTGTGGAAATTGCCCTGAAATCCTTTTGGTGACATATGGGTGTGCGGAGTGCAAGGGGAGAAGCTGAGGTGAGAAGGTGCGGGGCTGGGATAGCTGTGATGGGACTCACCAGAGGGATAGGTCTGCGCACAGGGCTCAGACCGCTGGAAGAGGAGGTGAGAGGCGGGACGCTCAAGACATGGTGGATGCTCCTCAAAACAATCAAAGCCCTGCTGCCTAAGGCCAAGGGGGTATACAGGGGGACTGTGCTGGTTCAGACCAACACGGTTACTGAAAGAGACCGGAGAAGGGTGTTCAAAAGCAAGCCTTGTTTGCTGGCCATGTCGAGGCACGCCTCTGCAGTTGCTCTGTGGAATTTGTTGGTTGGAGACAGGATTAAGGGCAGGATCAGAGAGTTTACTTTGAGAATGGAACATCGAGGGCATTTCTTCAAAGCTGCTGAGTGGGAAGCCAGCATGATACCCTTTAGCAAAAGACAGGAGGGATCTGCGAGAGGCAGCAGACGAGGGGAGGTCTTTAAAGCTGCTGCTGTACTCCTGTGTGGGCAGGTCCTGAGGCGGGCCCCGCGGGCTGTGCTGCCTGCGCCCTGCACTGCCTGTTTGGAAGGAGGTAGATTCTTCATACGTGAAGTTTGTTTCTAAGCTGTACTGTTTTGGCATGTCCTGAGCAAACACGAGTGGACTTTTCTCTTTGAACCTCCCTGGGTACGTGGGTGGGCAGGGGTAGCGCCCGTGCAAAGGATAAGCTCTGGGGCCAGAGTCTGTGGTTAGATCAGGGGAGAAAATGTTGGAGCTGCCTTCACTGCTGCAGTCTGAAAACAGGGATTCTGATCTGAGATCTGGGAGTGTGGAGAACTGGTCTGCCCGATCTGTAAACTCCAGATTGAGGCCAGAGTAAACTTTGACCATAGAGCTGTAGCCTGCCTCAGGGGACTCGCATCTGGGATCTGCCCTAGACTTTAGGGCCTCACTGGTGCAACTGCCATTACCTAGAAGGTCCCATCTGTCCAGGCCTCCAGGAGACAGAGGGGCAGGGTACCCTAGGAAACTACTACAACCGCTACTGCTGCTGCTACTGCTGCTGCTGCTGCCTCTGCGGGACTGGCCTTTCCGGCGCTCGTCATACAGGTCTGTGAGGGAGCTGCGCAGGATGGAGCAGGACTGTTTCTTTGGCGTGCTCTGCCAGTGCTCACGGCCCTCCTCTTCCAGCAGACTTTGGCTTGTTCCAGACCGGGTGTCCTCCATGATGCTTCTGGACACACTGGAGATCTTGGCACTGGCTCGGAGTTCGTCAGCCACGGCTCGCTGCGGCTGGCTGCCCCTCTCTGGGTGGTAGAACTTACATTTGTGACCATATGTGCACTTCTTTCCTGTGGACACATGAACAAACTGGTTACAACAGCTCTAATCTTGCATGCAATGCAAAACAGCTATTTACTATTGTCCTTCTCATTGAGCCAATCAAAGTGCTTTTATTCATGCATGGTTGATGAAAGTATGGTTCTGTATGGCCTCCTACACACAGCCTGTGTATTAGGACTGAGTGAGTGCTTAAGTTAGATACCCAAGCTGTAACTCAAAGAGTGAGTTTACCGTAAGGACATGGCTGTCTCCTGTTTTCTGGAACGATGGGTCTTTTCCTGAGAAAGTTGTCCAAGCTGGGTCCATGGCGTCCCAGTGGGTCATCTGGAGGCATGAACCTGCGCGGAGGACACAGCTCAGGAATTTGGGAGATACTAAGAGCTACTTTAATAACATAACTGCTCTGGGCAAAGGTAATGTAACCACATATCAATTAGGATGTTGTAGAGGTAACAGTAATCAGCCGTAATTGTCCTGATAGATTGAGCATGTAGTCATTCGTGTCCTCATCATTTGTCCAACTCTTTCTCAAAATATTTGCATTTACTAGTAGTAGTAGTAGAAGCATTACCCGTAGTAGTAGAAGCATTAGCATTAGCAGTAGTAGTAGCAGTAGCAGTGGTAGTATGCAAAGCTCTCACTTGTCGTTCACGAAGGAGTACATGAGGAGACGCTGGTCGATGAAGCGCTTCCACTCAGGCTTCTCATTGGACAAGTCGCGGTAGTTGTCGTTGGAGACGATGATGCCGTCTGACTCGTGGGCTAGCTTGACGATGAAACGGTCGTCGTAGCAGACCACGCGGCGGCCCTGAACGCGGCGAGACGGCGTAAACACCAGGATCTTCTGCTTCTCCAGCCGGCGCAGGATCTCCTGTTCTGTGGAGGCAGGAGCAGGAGTGAGAGACAGGCTCCATCTGTGAGGAGCATCCAAGTGCACTACGGCTTTGATACAAGGATAGTAGTAGTAAGTCATATTTATTTATGTAGCACCTCTCACAGACCAGAGTCACAAAGCGCTTTATGATTGTTGTGGGAAGTTGTCTCTCACTCTGCTCAGTGATGGGAGCTGGGATTCTATACAGGATGTCATGGTGTGGATTTTATTTCTGTGCTTGGTTTTATTTTGCCATTAGTTCTGTGGGATGAATTTCAGTTTTGCTTCCTGTCCTGTTCCCCTGTTGATTGTTTGTGTGTGTATATGTACCCTGTGCTCCTCTCCCCTTGTTGCTGGTTCATTGTTTTGTCCTGTCGTTATCTGTCCTGTATTGTCTTCGTTCCTGGTTCCGTTTTTTGGATTTTGAGTTTTGTTTTTTGCTGGAATTTTATTTTATTAAATCATTATTCTTGCATTCCAACTTTTTGGGTCCTCATTCAATTCACAAAGCCATACGGGAGGCCAGACTAGGTGCTAACCACTGTGCCACCGTGCCGCCATATTCATGACGTATGCTCGCTCAGATGCTCTTCCCTCTGACTGGACTGGTGATTGGTGTGCTCTGTTCATCAAATGTTTTTACACCATAGTATGTGATTTGAGTGTGATTTGAACATGAACTCGCCGGAGCCAAATTCCTTATTTGGGCCTTTTTTCTGACGTTTCCCTTGCGCCGTAACAGCGCTTGTTGTCTTCACTGTATATTTTCTACTAACTATATTTTTTTTCACGTTCTAAAACATGGAAAGACAAATTCGATGGTCTCATATTTATTTAGTGGCCAAAAATATTTATACTTATTTTTTCCTTGTTGCTAATGAAATGGACAAAGAAAATATAATTTGATGCCACCTGCATGTGAAAGCCAGATCCAGTCTGACCTATGAAGCTAAGCAGTGCAGGGTCTGGTCAGAACTGTGTTGGGAGACCTATGGGAACACCAGGCACCACAGTAAGGCAGCTGTAATGTACCAAACAGCTATTATGTCATCAGGCCAGACATGTAAGTAAGTAAGTAAGCTTTATTTATATACCGCCTTTCACAGACCAGAGTCACAAAGCGGTTTACAATTGTTATTTTTTGGGCACTTGTCCTCTCACTCCACACAGAGATGGGAGCGGGGTCGCCGAACAGGAGGCGCATGCCAGACCTATCGTACATATTTTTAGTGATAGGGGAAACCTAAACAGACACGGGGAGAACATGCAAACTCCACTCAGAAAGGCCCTGGTCCGGCCGGGATTCGAACCCAGGACCTTCTTGCTGAGAGGCAAGAGTCCTATCCACTCAGCCACCGTGCCGCCCAATGTCACCCACATTGCCTAGAATTAGTCTGATGTGAATGGTTGGTGGTGACCAGAGGGGCTTCAGGCATTGTGTCCCGGGGCAGCTGTGGATACAGTACCCTATTTTTCGGCTTATAAGTCACTCCAGAGTGTAAGTCGCACCAGCCGAAAAAACTTATATAAACCGCAATAGAGTATAAAGCCCTATTCGGACGGGATTAGTTTTACATGGGGACAGTGATTGTGATTGCTGTTTTCTCTTTACTTTCTGCGTTGTTTTGGTTTTTGTCAATGAGCAGAGGTGTCGCGGACCGCGGCTGTGTACACCATGGATCTATTATATTGGGTGTACACCTGCAGAGTCGCGGCTGCTGCTGTCTCTGTGAGGTCTCTGGAGAAGTGTAGAGGACAGTGTAATGTGTTCACTGACACTAAATGATCAGACCGATGGGTTGCGTTCGTACCATAGACTGAGTATATTAACGTACATTTACTCTGCACTCTGTCCTATACAGTGCAGACGTGTTGCTGCAGCCGTTACTATTTGTCGGCTTGCTGTCAGCAGCGTATGTTAGCAGAGTATGTGGGGCGTTCACGGGTAGTCCGTACAAAAAGTATTGCTTAAACATTACAGTACAGGCCAGAGAACTGTAGAGCATGTATGTGTTTGTCCTCATGGTACCTGTGGCCGCTGTGGTCAGACGTGAGACTTTATGAACTGCGTGAAGCAGAGAGACCCGCGCATGTGAGGCGTTATGTCAGTGAAAATTACAGACATTGCTTTTCCTGTGCGAATGCGCTGTCAGATCTCAGACCTCCTCCGTGATTATAACAAATTACCAGGGGTCCCCATGTAAAATTAATCCCGTCCGAATTGGGCTTAAGTCAAATTTTTTGAGGATTTTTTAAAAATAAAATCCAACAAGGAAAGCGATAAACAAGGTTTAATGTTGTCCATATGATGTTTTATATCTTTTTAGTGTAACGTATTGCACTTGTTAATAAACTTGTATATATTTGATAAATGTATCACTCTTCTTAATCACTCAATTACTGTAATAGCTCAACTTAATACATTTTATTTGATATTTTAAGGTAAATAAAATATAAAATGTAATAATTTCAGACATAAATTGCTCCAGAGTATAATTTGCACCCCCGGCCAAACTATGACAAAAAACTGTGACTACAATAGGAAAAGTACGGTAGTAGTTTATCAACACTGTGTATGGAATGAAATCTGCTCTTCATTGACACTTGACACAAAGTAGTTTAAATGTTGTCGTTTATTGCAATCATTTTCTGTCATATTTTCTTTCCGTGACAGGTCTATAGTCCATGTTACCGGTGATCGGTGCGTCTGGTCGGGACTGCTCTTTCCTCCAGGCGGGAACGAAAACTGTGATGTTTTGGTGACCACGGTCCAGAAACCAATCAACAGCCAACTGTATGCCCTGGCACGAGAACACCTCCTTGTTTCCATGACTACAAGAAAGAAGTAGCACATCAGAATAAAGGGAATGAAATACTTTGTTGATATAACTAAACTGGTCCCGCTAGAAGATCAAGGTTCCTGTGGACTCACCACCTGCAGGAGGATCAGTGAGGAGCTGGTGCTCTGTGTACTGGGTGCAGCTCTGACTGACACCCCCCAGACCCAGAAATGGATTAAGGGGAAGAAAATGAATGGATGGATGGATATAACTAAACAGTAAATCCAATGGCATTATTAGAACAACACTGTGTAAGGGCAGGTCCCTTTTGCTTGACATTGAGCCAAATATGATTGGTTTTAGTACACCTTAAGGCTTTGAAGAAGACTGAAACACAATTCCTCAGGCTGTTGTTTACAGATGATGCACGTCGACAAGCGCTGCTGCTGCAACACTGCATTCCGATTAAAAATAGTCACACAAGATACTGACTACTGGGAGGTCTCCTGCTTAAGTCCGTGGAAATAGAAATTGACACATACTTTAAAGCACATGTGTCCAAACTAGGGTCCATGGGCCAAATGTGGCACACAGGAACTTTTTTAGTGCCCTGAACTCATTTTCAATGAATCTGGCTACCATGTCATACCTAATCAAAGCTAATTCAACATTTGAACACGACATGTAATGTCAAATCCTTGGAATACCAATCTACACGCCTTCTTCACCAGTTTTGGTTCAATCAAAATAAACAGAACTAATTTTGTTTAGAAAAATCTACCAGGAAGTAAAACTTATGGTATTTATTTATAATATTTTTTTCATTATGCCTTTCATAATGACAATAGCGGTTTCCATGAAAGGAGACCACAAGTTTTTTCTGATATGTGCAGAAAACACCTTGTAATAATTTGTCGTTCCCTGACCTCATGGCCACATTGCTGCCGTCCAGCACCACAGGCCGCAGGTTGTCCTTGTCCTCGGTCCACTGGTGCAGTGACGACAGAGGCGTGGGTGGCAGGGCTACGCTGGAGTCCCCTGCCTGGGCCTGGCTCTCCGGCCGGTGTCCGAACTTAACCAGCTCTCCCAGGATGTCGTTGGTAAGCGCAGCAGGCCCCAGCTTCTGTAGCACCAGGTGCACCTGCTCCTGGGAGTAGCCCAGTTTCAGAGCAAAGTCCACCTTTGAGCGCTGGTCAGATGGTGGTGCACTCAGCTGGGACTCCCAGGAGGTCCCCGGCTCGTCCTCACTGTCAGAGGCCGAGACGGAGCGGCTACACTGCTCCTAAAAATGTAGAGGAAAAGGTTTTACACCAACCTGCACCATTTTGGAAGTTCATCCAAGGACGAGACTAAAACAACACATGTCCATTCAGGGATGATCAAGGCTAATCCCAAACCCAGGTCCAAACCAGACCTAATGGCATGGACAGGGTCTTGTCTGCCGTCGCCCCAAGGATCTGCTAGCCATTAGCATTTGTTAAACTGTTTTGTTTGCTGTAAGTAAAGTGGATTTGGATGGACCGTACAAAAGGTACAGATGTCACTGACCTCTGCTGCTCCTTCTCGAGCCCCTGCTGCTCTCTGGGATGCATCGTCATGTCCTCCCCCCAGTGTTCCTTGGAGGGTCCTGTGCTCTGCTCCCTGGGGGACCTGGTCCTCCAGGGGGAGGGCCTTGTCCCCTGCTCCCTGAGCTCCATCATGTGTTCCAGGGGGTGCTGTGTGGTGCACGTGTAGATACTCCAGCTCCTGGATGTGGCTTGTCCCATCCCCCTGGTCCTTCAGGCCCATCAGCCCCTTCACTCATCCAGGCTCCAGCTGGCACTCTGACCCCACCCGGGCTCTGTGTGGGGGCCACCCGCTGCTGCTGTGAGGGGTTGGAACACGGCCGGAGAGGGGGGAGGCTGTGGAGAGGCAACATCAACATGAGTCACACGTCATACAGACCAGGTTTACTCTGGGCCAAACCACGCCTTTGTACTCAGACAAACAAAGTGTTGACCTGAAATGTTTTGAGTATGCTCCTTTTGACAGGTGTAATGATGAGCTCAGTCTTACTATAACTGCCCAAGAAGCCATTGTCCAATGACCCATACAACCTTTATTTATTTATTTATCAATGTTTTACATGCTGTATATCTTATATATTGTTAATACATTTATGCATGAACAAACAGGAAACAAAAATCCTTGTTTTGTTGATTACAAAAACATTTTCACCTTTCCAACATCACCCCTCACATCTTTTTTTGTTTTTGTCCTTCCTATTTGCACAACATAGTTATTTTACGCTCAAATATGTGTATTTTCTTCTTTTTCAGTCATTGTTTTATCCTCGTATATTGTACAATCAATATGAATCTAATATTGGTAACAATCTGATTCAGATGGAGCATTTTAACCTTAGTGTCTAGGTTACTTTGTCAATAATTTCACAAAACACTGACAAATATGAAAGTCAATTGTATTGTTACACTCCAGCCGGAACCAGTGGGTGTCCCAGTTTGAACGTGGATAAGTGCCCTCTTGGTCAGGTCTTGGCCTTGGTGTATTGTGTGGAGGATTATGGACACAAAGGCTGTGCTCTTGTCCCCTTTAAAACAATGTCCCAGAGAAGCAACCGCCATTAACCCAACCAACGTTTTATTTCCATTCATTCTTGCATGTTTGTGTAATCCTGCATTGTCCTGCATCCAAGGCTTCATCACTGTTTCACGCCACCACCTAACCCCGCCCATTTATCTGTACACAAGATTCAAACCATGGACTGTATTTAGATAGATAATGCAAACCTGCTTTGTCAGTGAAGCCCAACAGGGAAGTGCTCGTGGACAAAGTTCAGCTCCAACTCGCTCTGGCTCGTATTGACTTGCATTGAAGAGTAAACTCTAGCTCAGTAACCGTTTGTGTCACACTCACCATTTTGGGCTTAAAAGTGCATGGTTACAGCGTTCTTCGTTCCTGGTATTTGTATTGTGAAATTGTCTTTGTAAAGTCAGATGTGAGCCCAAACAACTAACCAGGTTGGTCGTTGAATTTGGCTCTAGCAGCGCTTTTTTCTCTCTCAAATATCCTGTTAGAGTAAGCACTAATTGCACACATCAGCACTCGGTCAGTCCACTACTACACCATTCATGTCAGATCAAACACGTGATATTTGCAAATGTTACAACATCGTTCCTCATCAATCACAGACTGGAGCTGTTTTAGATCCATCAAGAACAACCAGCACGAACATGTATGCTGCTGTCCCAGTCCTGTATGATAACAGTATGACGTCATTGTACCACGATCATTGCATTTCCACAGCCTAAGAACGCCAAGGCCGCTCTCTCTTCAGTGGATTCTCAACCAGGTCTGAAGAGTTCTAGTCCCGTCTCTGTGCTCCCCGCGGAGAAACCTCAAGGCTCCAGACCTGAGGACGCGTTCCCTTATTCCTCAAACTGTGTAACTGTGATTGTAAAAAGGGCCCCGTTTATTCAGAGACGATGCGACAGTAAAACGTTAGAGTTGGGTATGGGTTTGGCCTCCTGTTTGGTGAGCGTGCCAGGCCCCAGCACCCCCCTGAGAAGGTGATTCAGGTGAAAATGCAAGTGATTCAAATTACAGACACACATGTGGAACGGAGCTTTGGGCCAAGAGCCAACTTTTGGACCATCCTGTAAAGACGTTTTCGAGAGCTCAGCTAATGCTATATGTTAGCATTGGCTAATTCTTATTCCGGGTCCACCCCCATCGGCCCGGGGTGGTATTGAAAGCACGTCAGCGCACTTCATTTTGGCCACTTTTGAGCCGGGACCCGCCCCCACTGATTCCACCTCATGTTTGCCGTGGCCTGAGGACTCATCCAAATACATACACTTAATAAAACAAGTTTGGCTTATTCCAGTGCTCTTAAATGCACAACTGCTGTTGTCTCATAAGGATTGATAGTATTAGGCACGCACCAGCTCCTCCAAACGAACCTCAATCAGCACGCACAAGTTTATTAAAGATTTAAAGTTGTATGAGTTTGTCCCCATGGTCTTTGTGGCTGGTTTGGTCAGACGCTAGACTTTATGTCTAGAATCACTGTCAAACATATGTCTCATTGTAATGTTTAATAACTTAAAAAGTGTTTTGTGTATGCGGATCTGATCTAGTGCTGAAGACCATCAGCACAAGTATGTTTCCTATGTATTTTGGACTTACAGCCGCGTTGCTGCGTGGCTCCTTAACAACTGTTGCCATTTCCATAATTTAGACACAAACAGAAAAGGCAAAGTACTCTATAAATTTAAGAAAAAATGAATATTTAGCATGTTTAGCAACTTCATTCAATATCCTACTGTAAACAGTTACATGTATCTGCATTCCAATAAACCCAGCTTCACAGAAGCAAAAGGAAACTTAAGAAAGTCTTAAGAGGAGTCTTTCAAATTAACAATCCCAATCCTCAATAGGGGTGTGACGATATATCGAAAAATCGATATATCGTCACACCCCTATTGAGGATTGGGATTGTTAATACTTTCTCCCGCGATTCGATTATCGATATGCATTTGCCAAGTATTGATATAAATTTTGATTTTTTTTTTTAATTGATATCAATACTTAATATATGGCTACATTACGCATCTCCATTCTATTTATCATGAAATAGAGTAATTTTTCTTTTATTTATGCCATAAATTGGCATATTGTATATTTCTGACCGATATATCAATAATCGTCGTATCGTGATAAAATCGTTATTGTGATATTGTTATCGTGATATTATCGTTATCGTGAGCTTTGTATCGTGTATCGTATCGTATCGTGAGGTACCCTTAGGTTCCCACCCCTAATCCTCAATGCAGCCCAACAAGAGAGTGCTAAAGTTTAGTTTTAACTCGCTCTGGCTCCTATAGACTTACATTTATAAGTGAGCTCCACATTCACCATTTTTGGTTTAAAAAATCTGAGGTTATGCTCCCTCTGTGATCCCGGGGTTCTTCTTTGGATGCTGTCTTCGTAAATCCAAATATGAGAGATATGAGCCATAGGAATTGATCGGGGAAACGCTAGCTTTCCTTAGCAACCATCATATGAACACGTCTGCTAAGATGTAACAGTGGGACTGTGTCGGCTTTTCTCCACATATAAGAAACAATGTCAAAACAAAAGAGTCAAAACAAACTTACAGCTTACAGAGAGACCAGAGGGAATCCCATAACATGGATTACGGCATAACGATAACTTCATAAATCAAAGAGTAGCATGTGCAACAGCCCAAAGTCTGAGGGTAAGAGATTCACTCACCCAAACACAGCTCCACGGCTCGTAACGCTGCCATTATACAACGTTTTGTCCTTCCTTTGACATACATGTAGTTACAAAACTTCACATTATTTCTTTGCCTGACCAACATGTTAAAACTGAGGACATGGTTTGGTTTTATTGCAGCCTAAATTGCCGCTTTATCTAGCATTACGCTTGGTTTGGCACCAAGACTAGGTCATGAGCTGGAGGGCGAGTCTTTTCAACCCACCAGCCCGTGTGGCTCAGTGTGGAAGGAAGAGTGGATCCGGGGTTTTTGGTCAGTGGAAATTAGCCTAAAGAGCGACTGGTCCACAGATGTGCCAAAAGTCATGCGTAATCAGCTGTCAGTCTGCGTCTCTGGGATGCCACAGGATAACGGCGTCTGCAGCCACAAAGGGAGGGGGCGGGGGTGAGGGGAGGGGGGAGGGGAAAGGGAGGGTGTAGAGGTCACACTGCAGAAGTGTGTCTGGCGTGCCGTCGTCAACAATGCAGCTGCTTCACAATCTGTCCCACAGCGGCGGGTCCATTGTCCCGTGAGGCAGACAGAGCCCCTCCACCCGGGACCCCCAGCTCACCCCCTGCTCACCCCCTGCACCCCTGGGACTCCCCCCCCCCCCACCACCACCACCACACACACATACACACACAGAGACAGGCAGATGACGCAGCAGTCTGGATGGCCGTGATGAGAGAGGGTTTTCACATTGCAGGACTGACTACTGCTCTGAGGAGGCTGAAGTCCAGTACTTTCTTCAGAACTTAAGTAAAAGTAGTCACGAGAAAGCAGATCCCTGAGTGCGGATCTGCCTTCAGTTTGCTGATAAACAAATTAGCAGCGTTGAGGATGAGATCTTGAACCCTCTGCACAGTCACTTGGACAATGGTAAATCTCTCGTGTGGAAACCATTGATTACAGCTCCAGTAAGACTCGTGTCTCTTTGAGCGATGCTACAGGTGAACATTTGAGAATCCTTCAAAAGTCAGTTTACTTCTGTACTTCAATGTGAAACTAATATATGACAAATGCCATGAATGTAACGTGACCTTTGTTATAAGGGTGATGAAGGTCCGAAATATTCTCATTTCATTTGTTTTATTTTGTTTTTATTGTGAACCATTTATCGCCATTATAACAAAGGAAGTGTCACAACAAATGATACGTCTTTTTGCCTGTAGTAAGTCCCTCATATAAAAGTTTACAAAAAATCCTCCTGCTACTCATGTAAACCTGTCCGCGGTGATTGAGGCGTGAAAAATCAGTCAGTTTGGAGGAGCTGGGCTGATTCTACTGCGATTGAGCTGCATGTAAACGTGAATTGGATCCTTATGAGACAACAGCAGTGACGCATTTAAGAGCACAGGGAAAAGCCAAACTTGAATTGTAAATGTATGTATTTGGACAGCTACAGTCTACTACTATGTTGTTACGTGAAGCAACACCTAAATTGGACAGAATCTTGGTGCTTTATTTTATGTTCATCAGACTTGTCCAGGGGCCGACAACCCAGACTGTAAACTGTTTTGGCAGGATTTGGGCTGTTCCCTGCTTTAAAAGGAGGTATGACATTGATTTAAGTCCATATAAGTCCATATGCTTTTACATTTGACAAGGCTGAGGTTAGCT